GAACCCCGAGAAAACCGCGATTTCCTGCGCGTGTTCGTGTGCGAGATGAACATGCGCAAGAACGGGAAGTTGGCGGACGATGCTCCTGGACGGGCAAAGTTATGGCTACCGGCCGTCGACGAGGGCGACAAGACCGATCAGCAAGGAAAGAAGAGGTCACGGCCGAGCGGAGAGCAAAGGTGGGCAACTTGGTCGATCGACGACTCTTTGGATTTATCTGTGTGACATATTACATTCGACAACATGGGAACGATGTCCCAAGACGTCCCAGCTTTGAGCGACAGCCCTGAGGAATGGCAGATAGAGTAGAACGAAAGGTGTAAATTACAGTGTTCACAACATTCCAATCGGAGCTGCCTAGGCTTGAGTGTCTGATGTGTAAAAGGTATGTACACTCATGAAAGCGAGCTGGACAACAAACAGTCCATGTCCATCTTCATGTTCACGTCCATGTCTTCGAACACTCATGCCGTAACACCTGAATCGACCTCCGAAACCTTACCTACTACTTACAGTACCTACTGAAGAGTATCTCGTCAAACGTGGTGAAAACTCGAAAGCCCACGCCGGATTGACTCGACGCGCGGTAGGGTCTACAAGGTAGGTCCCTAAGGTAGATACGTAGCCGGTACGGGGGTATATATGCGGTATACGGTATAGTACCTATACAAAGCACGGTACGCAATGAGGTACACAATATATTCGGATATACTCCGTACTTCATACCGTAGTAATGACCGTCGTCCTCCCTTGTCCTGCTTACCCGAGCTTTCTAATTATTTACATACCTATGCCTAGGTATCTAGGTAGATCATGTGTATTGACAGTTCCTTGTACTGCCTGATGGGAGATCGAATGCAATGCATGTAACGGTCAAGCATGTACGACTGGAGGACTGTCACTTCAACGACGAGAAGGCCACAGATCATGTTATATTGGTGTGCTTGTATTTGATACTAGATTTAATAAGTATCTAGTTATCTGTATTGGTACATGTCTCGGTATCGATACTGGGATCTGGAAATGTAATGTATAGACGAGGCATTTTGGTTCACCATGTTGCTCTCGTTGAGCATCGTTTCGCTCGCTTCGTCTCCCCCACCTCGCCCCCCTCGCCTCACGCTCGTTCGGATGGACTTAATAACCAACATATGCTTCCTCATCGACGCGGGTTCCATCTTTCCAACAGACTTCAATCCACTCCCTAGTCACTATCCTGGGGATCTTCCGGGCGTTCCATCTCGACACCTCTTTTCTTAGGGTAGACAACTCGGAGGCACGATGCGCGATAATATGCGTTATCCTTGGTTTCAGCTTCGGCGGCACGGAGGCGAGCATGCCGTGCTCAGACGAGAGGACTTCTGCGCCGGCGAATTTCGCAATCGCTTTTAAAGACATCGTCGTCAGGCGTGAAGAGCTGTCGTTTTCCGCGAAGGCTTCGTTGTCTTCTCCTGGCATGGAAGTCGCGTTGGACTTCATCGACTGTGCTGCTGCTGCTCTCGCTTCGCGTGCGGTCTTCCTGGGGACATCCTCATCCACATCGAAGTAGAAGACCATACCGCGAAAGAGGAATCCTCTCATGTTGAGGAAGTCGTCGCCAAATAGATCGGGGATGCGCTTCTCTTCGTCTTCCTCGATGTCGACGCTGCCCATCTTGTTCATGATTTCCCTGAGCTCGTCTTCACTTGTGTCGCGAGCGTAGCTGTCGCCGTATTCATCCACATTACCCTCAAACCGGTCCTTCATCTCCTCAGGCACGAAAAACAAATGTCTCTCCGGTTCGAACGGCACGACCATCTGGTCTGCGAACCCCAGCGCAAAGTCCCGGTTTGCCTGGTCAAGACAGTCGAAGATCCAGATAGGCTTGATGATTTCCTTTTGGCCGTGCTTCTCCAGACTTGCGACCTTAACGGTGCGACGCGCCGCCACGCATATCACAGGATCCTGGTCGTCGGATGTGGGCGTGGCTTGCTGGACGATTCTGCCACCGTTGGCTTTTACAAGGCCTTCCAACTCGAGTTTGGATTTCTTGCGATCTCCTGGCAGAGAGGACTCGGTCATGATGTAGAAAGTCAGTCCTTCGAAGACATTGCCTTGCGGACCCTCTGGTAGCTTGGCAGCGTTCACGTCTCTGGCGTTGTATCCCGCCACGGTGAGAGGTCTCTTCCGGCTTGCGTACCCGCCAGCACGAGCCTTACGCTTGTCTTTGCGCTTCTGGTCGACTTCCAATTTCTTTTCCTCCTCCCTGTCTTGCGCTTTGGCTCTGAGATCTGCAAACTCGTTGACTGATAGTGCGGTCGTCCAGTCTCTATCTCTTCTGATCCTCACGAACCGTGGGAACCGAAGCGTGTAGCCAAAGCCGTAGTCAGTACTCGCCGTGACTTGTGCGGCCTTGACTTGCACGACGACCGAGTCTGAAGGCTTAATCCACATGTCGGGCTTCTCTGCCAATTTGCTGAGATCTCCCTGGTCAATGTAATCTGCTGCAGCTGGGCGACGAGAGTCCCAGCGATGCCATTTTCCGTCTGTGGCATGGCGGATTGCTGCATAGTCGTTGGCGGTCATGCCTCCACCAACCTTGAAGAAAGTGGTAAAGTTTTCGACTGGGCCGTCCTCCTCAAATTGCGCCGGCTGAGAGTCTGGAACCAGTGCCTGGGACTGCGATTGGGACTGGGATTGGTTTTCAGCTTGGGAGTGTCGCTGTCGCTGCGAAGGTGGAGCATTGCCGCCCAGATTGTGAGTCGAGCCTTTGCGGCGTTGATGTTGACTCTGACTCTGGCTCTGGCTCTGGCTCTGGCTTTGTTGTTGACTAGCGACCTCTAGATCTTGCCTCGAAGCGCGCAGGCCACAGAGAAAGCTTGACAAGAACCCTCCACGTTTCCCAGATCCGTAGTATCCTCCCAGGATTACGCAGTCAAGGTCTTCTCCGAATCCCTCCATGTACTCGGGCTTCACCTTTTGCCAGTCGCCTGATCGGTCATCTAGAAGGTACATGGACCGTGGATTCTTCAGCACCAGTCCTTCAGATGCCTCTGCGACTACTTGGCGGAGAAGGTCCTCTACTTCTTCCACTTTAGTGGCGACTACGTAGTCGTGGATTTCAAAACGTTCGGGCGCGCTATTGATTGAGGCTGCAAGGGCTTTGCGACGGTCCCTTAGCTCATAACGAGTGAGGGGTTGGCCGTTCAGCAAGAGTATGTCAAAGATTCTGAAGACCGGTCTGTGACCCTGAGCGAAGGGATTGCGCTGTTCTGCAAGAGCAGCCGTTTTCAAAGTCCCAAACGGTACCGGTGCCTTCTCGTTTGGATCCCAAGTGATCATTTCACCATCGAGAATGATGTTATCGACACCATCTCTGAAACAATTCTTGATTGATTGAGTCAATGCTCCATTTGGATCCTGGAAACCGCTGCCATAGAGGTAGGTATAGTCCTTGGCCTTACGCGACCAGAACTGGAAGCGCTTGCCGCCCGGGTGGGTCTCATCGGTCACCATGTGCATCTGCATTCGCTCGCCATCCAGTTTCTCTTCTATCCAGAATTCGGGGTCTTCCGGTGTTGGCCGTAGTGCCTCGACAACCTTCTTGAGCGGTTCTTGCTTGGAAAGTGCTAGCATCGGTTGGAAACACTGCATCAGAGCCACCCCGGCTTCATCACCGTCGAGACGTACATTGGGATCGTACAGCTCCCAGCATACTCTTCGGAGGTTGCTGGAGACGTTGAACAGGCTCTCTGCATCGGGGTGCCAGAGAGCAAAGAATGTCCTCTCGGTGGCGCCCACTTTCATCTCCTTGAGAATGATTTGAATGAGCCACTTCAGCTCTTCGGCGTTCATGCGCTTGTAGAACTCGGCTAGGATTGGAAGCTGGTCCTCCTCTTTCGGGGCTGCGGACAATTCGTCCAGCATCTCATTGACTTCGTCGATGGTCATATCACCCACTTTAGTGCGCATTGGTCGTTTGGAAAGTGCATCGTGACATCGTGCGGCAAAATTGCCCGCCGTGTGAGACGTGTTTGTTTGGCCAGGGTTCTTCCAGTTCAGAAGGTTGTAGCCATCCTCGGAGTTCTTGTCAATTTTCATAATCTTGATCAGCAACTTGGCGATGATCTTCTCTTTGAGGCCGTACACGCCTCGCTCACGGTCCTTGTCCGGGATGATGAGACGAAGGGCAGGGAAGAAGTCAGGTCCGACCTCTCTTCGCCAACGACTGATGTAGCGCTCGATCAAATCTCTGCGTCTCTCGGACGGGGACTTGTTAGATTGTCCATCTGGACCTACTTTCCTCCGGTTGACCACGGCCACTTTCGGCTTGTTCCTCAGGTCGAGCAGAGGATCGAAGAGCTCCTGGAAGAGGCTGTGAAAGGGACGTGATTTGCCATGGTTGCGCGGGCGATTTGGATACTCCTCATCAAGTTGTCTCTCGATGTCTTCGCGGCTTCGAGGTGCATTTGAGCGCTGAGAAAAGCCGTACTGGCTGTCGTCCTCGGACATGATGGGACTCTGGCAGGTCAGCTTGGATCGACTGGCCTGAACAGCTGTTCATGAGAACAGACAGGCTGAACAATGTTCACATGGGGGTAGCCTTGAAAAGACGACAATCTCAGCATCGCAATTCCTAAGAGAGGCCCGTACGATCAGTGCTCATTTGGTACCGTAGTCATCGGCCAATCTCGCATGTCGCTGCCTACCACAGAAAGTGACGCAAGATTGAAACGCGACACGAAGTCACGTGATAGAAGGCAGCAGCGAGCTGAACGCTGACGATGCTTCACCTCAGCTCCGTGCCGTTCTCCTGTTCCTGTTGGTCCGGTCATACACTCGATGCTTTCTCGTCTACCATTCGTTTTGCAACATGCTTTTGAACCCTGTCTTGATGTTGGAGTGATTCAGATGTGATGAGCCCGTTACTCATGCACTGAACCTCCCTCATTCGCTTGACGTGGACTTTGTTCTATGGTGATGCGGCACCCTGTCTTCGTCGACCTGGTGTCCATGGATTGATGAGTGAGAAGCAGGCACGGCGTCCTCCTGTGGCGCCCAAGCCCTCCTTCATCCGACAGCAACACAATGTCGCGGCTGCTGGAGTCTCTCCACTGCCCTCGCCCGCCCTGCAGGGTGCCTCTTTGGCATTCCGACCCGCCCCGTTGAAACCTTCTGTACCTACCCCCTCCGCATCACATAATCCGTCTGCGTCTGCAGGAGCCCTGCTCGCGGCTACCGCTGCCTCGACACGGAAGCAGCAGCAGCAACAACAACAACAACAGAAGCCTCAGCAGCCTCAGCAGCATGCCCCTCTTCCTCTCCCTCTCCCTCAGGAAGCCTCTCTATCCGCACGTGGCCGAGCCTTGACAACAGAAAGACTGCCTGTCGCAGTCGACGGACCCAGCTCCTTATCACCTCCCAAGCCTGAGTTCCGCCCACACGCCCCCCGCTCCACATCCGCTGTTGCTGCCGTTGCTGCTTCTGCCAAGACGAGCCCAGTCCGCAGGCCAGAGCTCCAGAAAGATCAGGGGTCTTATCTTGCGCGACGAGATCCATCCCAGAGTCGAGGTCGGGGTATGAGCACGAGCAGCAATAGCGAGGCTTTGCAGTCCCTTCAACAGAGTGCGGCTGCTTTGGCTGGGGCGAAGGCCTCTATGACAACAGCGCCGCCCCAGGTCCAAACTGCAACAGGAGACAAGCAGAGGAACAACCGGAGCTATCTTTCCCATCTTGCCCTTCCCCCAGCACAATCGTCTTCGGCTCCAAGCCCTTCTGCTTCTGCTTCTGCCTCAGGCACCACCGCCGCAGTCACAGCAACTAGGAATGCTGCCAGTTTGGAAGCCAGGAAGCGGGCTCTGTCGACATCCCAGGAAAGCAGCCCCGCTGCACCAGTGGCTCGATATCTTAGCACATCTCCTCAAACACATAGCGGGTCCTCTGCACCCCGGGTCAAAGTAACCCCTCCATTGACTGACTCAGAAAGCGACAACGGACGTTCCGCGCCGGACTGGCCCCAGAAAGCCCTACCAGCACCTGTCCCGGTTCATCCCCAACGTGCGGCTATCACAGCACGAGAGGCAGCCCATGCTACAGGTCACAATACCCCCAACCAAGACCCCCGGCCCACCATGACGGCGAGCGCTCTGGCAGACGCTATGGTTGCCGGCTCCTTAGCAGTTTCACACACCGGCTCTCGGGGCGCATCTCCCGCGCCAAAGAAAGTGCCACCGCCTGTACCTCGTCGGCGATCACAATCGGTTGGCGCTTTCCAAAGCGGAAAGCACTTGATGCACATGCCTGGGATGCGGAGTGACGCTGGGTCGCGTACGCCCAAACTAAAGCCGCTACCAGCGAAGCCTATGAGGCAAACGTTGCGCTCCTCTCCCGAACGGGATGAACCGTACGACGAGAAGAAACGTGGCCGGAAACATTGGCGGCGTCACCCTAATATGCACCACGAAGGGGATCGCAGAAGATGGCGGGACAAGGTGACCGAGCGTGAAAGGAAACGGTACGAAGGTGTTTGGGCCGCCAACAGGGGTCTATTGTTGGATTATGACCTCGAAAATGTCGACCACGAGCACAGGAGAGACGGCACGCCTGCGAGTGACCTTGTGGTTAATGTTGTGGTACGGGATATCTGGGAACGGAGTCGACTACCCAAGGACGCGCTGGAAGAAATCTGGGACCTTGTCGCACAGCCTGATGTAAAGACCCTCAATCGGGAGGAGTTCGTGGTCGGGCTCTGGCTTATCGATCAAAGACTGAAAGGGAGGAAACTGCCGGTCAAGGTCTCTCAAAGCGTTTGGTCTAGTGTGCGGCACACCCAAGGTGTCAAGATCTCCAGCAAGCCTCTACAGAAATGATATTACTAGTACACATGCTTCTACAACCCTCGCTCTGCCTACAATCGGTGCACGAGAAGTGCCAAAACAGAAAACGGGAAAGGCTGCCTTACTCTCAGACAGTTCCTTGTCATGCTCGCCCCTTCGTATACTCATAGAGTCATTCCTCGCCCATACGTATTGGGCCATGACTTCGACTATCAAGTGGGATTCGCAATATCTCACGTATCCATCCCGACCATCCCATCTCATCCCATCTCATCTCCTCTGCACGATGGTTTCATCGCGTCTTCTAAGAGAGTCGCACATCCTACGAAACAGAGCGAGCAAGCGAGCAAGCATACAAGAAAGCAAGCACCCCTCCCAAAGACCCGGAAGTCACGACTCGGCGTCGGAAAACGAAATGAAGAACCAGGGAAGAAGAAGGATAGGAAGAATCAGCATCGAGTCCTCGTACTCTAAAAGATACAATGTCAATGACGTTACGAGGCACCTAAGCCCACCGTGCCCACCGTGCCCACCCAGGCCTAGTACTTACTCGTACCAAGGAAAGAAAGGTACAGCCATAACACCAAGCGTTGATCGATCGGGATCAATCCATCAATCAATGGATGGCCCGCTGGTGGTGGCGATATCATGGCGATCAGCCGCAGCGGTTGGATCATGGGGGCGGAGCATCGTTCCAAGGTTGTGAGCGTGGGTAGGGGTGTGGAGTACGGAGTACGGAGAACATACTCCTACCAGGACCGCGCCGACTGCGTACGAGTAGTAAGGATTTCTACGTGGTAATTAAGCAGAGGGGATAGTAGTAAGGATAGTAACGGTTAACTTGAAAGGACGACGGTCGGGATGCTGCGAGATGGATGTCCGAACGAGCTTAGTTTTGGTAGAGGGTACTCCGTACTCGTGTACCACTTAGTCGTATTCTGTACTCCGTATGTGTGGACGGAGTGCATAAGTAGTGATCGGCGGATGAGAATATCCGCCGTGATCCACTGGCCTGCGTCCCTGCATCATCATTACTCGTACTTGATCAGATCTGCATGGAGGCAAAGCCGTGGGTTGCATACGGAATAGAGTACCATGTGCGGTGGAGAGAACCTATGTGTGCCTCGTGGCTGTAGACGATGGCGAGAGATGGGCTGAAGATTGAAAACGGATGGTTAGTTTTTCCGGTTTGTGTCTGGTTATGGGTTTGGAGTTTGGATTTGATGGTTCAGTCAACAAGATGCAATACTAGGATTACAGTGGAATGGGTACTGTGTACACGAATAGAGAAAGCTCGATCCCGAGGGAGAGTAATGCCGTGTGATGGCGTATCCAATCCGTCTCCGTCCCCGTCCCCGTCCCCTTCTCCGTCCTTGTCGCGAGGTTCATCTCCATAGCAGTGTGTTGTACAGTACATTTCATCATCCTCAATTCAGGTCTCCCCTCTATACCACCGTGATTAGACCGTAAAGATTCCGGCGATGGCGAAGTCCAGCCTCTGCAAAATACCAGTGACGTTCCCACAATTGCGTTCCCCAGGCTGGCTATCAAAGCCACGACTACTGAGGGCGGCGGTGGAGGACCGTTGGGATCTCGTGTGAAGCGTGGCGTGGCGTTCAGCTCGGTGGCCTTTGCGTGGTCCTCTTGTGGCGAGCTTCTCTCGCTCTTCTTCTTCTTCCGTTCTTCTCTGACTCGTCTCGGCCGCCGCGTCGGTGGTGGACTCCGTAGCGTCAACCTCAACTGGAGTCCGCGACTGTGTTGTACAGCAGCGGCAGCGAGAGTTGATGCCAGTGTTCGTGATAAGTCGTAGCGTTGTCGCTTATGCATTTACTTGTGGGGTATCAAGTCGTCGTAAAAGTCCATGATCGTCAAATAGGAGCCAGAAGCAGCCCGGTCGTTCAATCTTCGCCGTCCACTTCGATGGCCGTCTCCCGCACAGTTACGGGACGGTTCTGCTTCCAGGCTTGGGACTTCATCTCGTGCTTCTTTGGTGGCTCCGGAGCTCGGCGTTTGGGGGCCGCCGGCGAGGACTTGGAATGCTGCTTCTCGACATGTTGCACTTGGTAGGTGATTTTGCCCGAAGCCTGAGTTTGCTCCTCGATGATGGTGTTGTCATCGACTTCGATGTCAAAGATGGCAACGGCGTCGTCGGCTTCATCTTCTGAAGAGGCCGAGTCGTCGAAGGGGTCGCTGTCCGTGTCCGAGTCGGAGTCAACGACCACGGTCTCGGATGGAGTGGCCAGGTCGCGAGACCAGCGGCGCACGTTGTCGACGATCGAGGCATGCAGAACAATGCGGTGCAAGTCTGGGGTTTGGCGTCTGCATTCCTTGTCGAGCTTGGTTTGAGAGAGATGATACACCTTGTAGGCGTGGATAGCGGGGTTGGAGGAAGTTGGCACCATGGCGGCAGGCATGCTTTGAGCGTTGGATTGGGGTGTCGATACTGATGTCAGGCTTTGTCGATATGGTGCTTGGCTTCTGTCGGTTGATTGTTGGGAGAGGGCTGGATGGCGAAGAGGGATGGGATGGGAGAATATATCTGTGATAGAGGAATGAGGTGGAATTGAATAACCGGAGTGTGGGCCTGCTATCCAGGATGAATGGAAGTTAGCGTGTTGCGAGTGTGTTGCGACAATGGGTTGCAGGGGTCAGAGTAATGACCCGAACCGGCCGACTAAGCGACCTGCTGCGCACGTCGTATTCGCAGTATCGTCCGTCTTCGCAAGCCAAAGTCGGAAGAGACGGATGGAGCGCGGCTTTGGCGGTGCAGGGTTGATGCTGAGAGCGCAGGCGACGGAATGGGCAGTCGTGAGGTAAGCCTGCAGGGCGTCGTAATGCGTCTCCGGAGGCTCGATTAGGCGGCCGACGATCCAGCTGGACGAATGTTCCGACCCGATGCCCAATAATTGGCAATTTTCGAGCAGGTGATCTCATGCCGCAGTGCAAGAAATGTACGAGGACGAGGACGAGCTACAGAAGAGCAGGCTTAGGCGTGGTCTTCCCCAGATTCGGGAGTTTAGGCGTGCCCGGAGACCTGCTCGCGCCGGAACAACTGAAACTGAGAACGGAGGCTGGGCACGTGCAAGATCCATGACGTAGCAGCCGCCTCTCCCTTCACCATCTCCGCGCTCTTGAATTTTGTTCCGCGGGCACTCAATCAGTACACAGTACGAGTACAACCACAACCACAACCACGACAACCCGGCTGTAACATGCGGCTACAACGCTCAGGAACCAAGCAGGATGCGTACTATTCCTTGCTGACGGGTAATTGTTCTGCGAAGGTACTCAGTCCGCCGGCACCACCCGTTTCGGTTAAACGCTTTCACCAAGCGATGAGTAAGGCATTGTCCACGCACTGTCTACGCATTCCGACCACTTTGCCGGGCTCGCACTGGGCGCCAACTACCAATCATGCTCTTACGTCCTACGATGACTTGAGCATGCAGAGTTCTGGACCTTAAGGCGGCCTCCAGATATCGAAACCGCAATTCCGCCCCCCTCGTCGTGCTCTTTCGCTCTCAGTAGGCATACGCTTGCGACCAGGATAAGGCAAGCCCGCTGATCAGTCGAGACATGCACATGATTCACTGTGCAGGGCTTCGCTCAGTACCCTCTATCAGCCGGCCAACTCTTGAACACCTCATCGATTACTTGTTTCATTCAAGCGCTGGACGCTACCACTGCCTTTGGTCATCCTCCAGTTACTCTCGTGACAGATACTCCATTGAGCATGCTTCCAGAAGACGCAGAAGAAATCGACGTGGGGAGCTTTGTCAACAACCTCTGCACGCATGGGGCAGCCCACCGTGACCACAGAAGGACGCTCTCGTCCACTCCTCGGTGATTAGGACTGCATGATTGCGATGACCTCAGAGAGGATGCAAGGCATCGGTGCCGGTCTACTCGTGCGAATTCAAGATCAGGAAACATACCAGAAATGGCAGTGCCGACCAATGCAGCAGAAGCCGGTGCGCTACCCAGGTGCACCCTCGTCTGCGGGCAAACGCCGGTTGAAGAACGGAATCCCATGTACTCTGTACTATGCTGCTAAGCAATTCCGAAATGGCATTGCGCGCTCGTCTCCTTGACACCTGTCCTTGCAACTTCAGGAAAGCTCGAACTCTGCCGCTTTAAGCGATATTTTCACAGGTTACAGTCACGATCGTGTTGGTCTCCACGGAGCCGCATGTAGGGTGCATCGCGCTGGTCGTGCAAACGTCGCAACCATTATATCGCGCAGTGGCTCCATCTTGGACGGCATGGGGATGCGGACACTATGATTCGACGGCAAACATGAGTTGAAGGTGCTTTTGGGATCGCAACGTCGGAGATGACTTCCCGCCGCGGGACTTTCCACCATGTCCAACACCGAAGGTGTTTCTTCCCCGCTCTTTTCGGAATCCTCTCCGAATCAGATGCAATGAATATGCCTCATTTTGATAGGGGACGTACTGTTGGTTCAACGCCAGGGCCATTAGGAAAAGGTCTCAAAAACTAGAAAATAGGCCTCGTGGCTAGCTGGCTGAAGAGCCTCGCCTTCATCGAGATGGTCACGCGCACATGAGCACGACGAAAACTCGGGTGGTGAAGAGGGCCTTCAGATCGCGGTAACCCCTTTACCCGGTTGCACAGAGTCTGAGAAAACTCCCACGCGGGATTTGGATTGATTGCATACAATCATTACCGCAACCACATGCCGTAACAATCGGACATTACTACACGCAAGTTTCGGCAGAAAAAGAAGACCAAAACAGGATGGATGTCTACTATATGCGGTTAGCCATGAAGCGACGGCAGTAGGTTTGATGCCTTGGATCTCACGGGAACATGACACTATCGAGAGCCCACTGGCGAGGTGTTTCTAGTGCCCTGCAGCTGCAGTGACAAAGACCCTCGAGATCACGATCTGAGCTTGTGGCCTTTATCAGAAACGGCAGGCTTACTCTGTTTGGTATATTAGTTGCCAGGGCCAACCCGATTACACGGTCTTTGACTCAGCCAACCCTCCCCGCCTTCCTTCTTGCGGCAGCGACAGCACATCAGTCAGCACGGAACTGCCACCGAAACATTTAGCTAATCCGGCTGCTTGGAGCGGCACATTTGCATCAAGCACTCAGAATATCACTGGACCGCGGGTGCCACGCAATGGTGTGCTCCGTCCCCGCGATACTTGGGCTATTAGCGCTACCCTTGCTTGCTCGACTACCCCATGCTTCAAGGCACGCAGAAGGACCCAGACCGTTGAGAGGACAGCGATCCTGCTGAGCTGATGCTTCCCGCATGTGCACGATGAATCAAATGCACTCGCTTCACTGGCTTTGTCTGACTGGACAGGACTGGAGTGGATTCACTTGCTCGCGAAGGAAAAGCTTTTCTATGATCCTACAGCAAAGCTTCAGCACTCCAGATTGCTACCTCTACGGGGAATGTGCCAGGTCGTGGAGAAGGCTAGTATCAGCCTATATACCCGATACAGAGGTTACGGTGGCTGGATCACGCAGAGTGCGACTGCGAGTCCGTGCTCCAGGCAGGCGCAGTGGAAAGGCACCCGAGTCAGAGTACAGAGTCGCTCTCCTCCTGGTACTGTAGACAGCCCTCGTCGGCCCCTTGACCGAAACATGAGACGCCTGAGGGCGGAATGCTCTCTTCGAGGCCGGGGCACTTTCTTTCAGCATTCGGCACGCGTAGACACCAAGATCACACAGCAGACACCTCATTCAAACCGGACGCAAAATAGTGGTAATTAATTGCCTTTCAAACGTCGACGACCTGTGTACAGAGTAGGCCCCCTTGTAGATACTAGCCGCGAGGCACGCGCTCTACGAGTGATCCTGTCTTTGCCTGCCATTCTATATCTACAATCTAATTTGTCTATGCTTTGCTTTTGCTTTTGCCTTTACTCTTGCTTTTGCTTTTGCCTTTACTCTTGCTTTTGCTCGTGCTTCCACGTTTGTTCAAATCTGGCAGTACAATCTGGTTTGTTTTGTGATTCTGGCCTCCCCAAGTCCCAACTCCCTGCCATTGTCAATTTCCATGGACGATTTTCACGTGCTGCTATTTTCCTTTCGATTTGTGGCGACAGTCTGGGTATGTGTGAGTGAGAGAGAGAGGAAAAGGAAACTAGACCGTCCATACCCACGTCGACGAACGCAAAGCAGTGGTGCCGGTCCAGCTCAACCCCAACCCACATCTATCTAATTACCTCGTCAATGTGCGAGCACGAGCGCCAACAGCGCCATCCTCGTGTACAGCCCATAGCGCATCTGTCTGAAGTAGGCGGCGCGCTGGTCGAAGTCCACTTCCTCGCTGATCTCGCGGTTCCGGGGCAGCGGGTGCATGACGATCATGCTGCTCTTGGCGTACTTCAGCACGGCGTTGTCCACGATCATCGAGTCCTTCAGCCGCTCGTATTCTTCCAGGGAGGGGAATCGTTCCTTCTGGACGCGCGTGCAGTACAAGACATCGCTCTTTGCGACGATGTCGGGCGTGAGCGTGTCTGCCTCGATGGCCAACTGACCGGACGAGACGATCTGATCGCGCACCTCGTCCGGCAGCGCCAGTGCACGAGGTGAGACGAGGTTGATGCGCACTTCGTAGTACTGCAGCAGCTTGACGAGCGAGTGGACCGTGCGGCCGTACTTGAGATCACCCGTGAAGGTGACGGTCAGGCCTGTGACGGTGCCCAATTCTTCGCGGATGGTGAAGAGATCCAGGAACGCTTGTGTGGGGTGCTCGCGGCTGCCGTTGCCGCCGTTGATGATGGGGACTGGGGAGAATTTGGCAGCCGTGGCGGCCGAGTCGTTGTCCGGATGGCGAAGGACCACTGCGTCGCCGTAGCAGCCCAGCGTGCGGATGCTGTCTGGTAGGGATTCGCCCTTCTGCGTGCTCGAGTGGTCGGTGTTGATGGCGATAGTGCGGCCGCCGAGGCGCTGCATGGCGGCGTCGAAGGACGCGGATGTCCGTGTGCTGGGTTCGTAGAACATGGTACATAGCACGCGTGACTGCAGGATGGGGAGGATGCCCTGGCGCTGGACGCCCAGGCGCATCTCTTGCGCCACCGTGAAGAGGATGTGCAGATCTTGGCGGGTGTATTGGTTGACAGAGAGGACGTGGCGGTTCTTGAACGGTGATGAGGCGAGGAGGGACAGTAGCGAGGGGGATATGGTAGATTGGGGCTGTGGTTGATACAAGGGCGCCACAGCGGGGAGAATGGGACTGGTTGCCGTCGCCGGTGCCGGTTGGAGCTCCTCCATGGGCCGGGCCCGGACGATGGGCCTGCTTCTTGCGCTTACTGACACGCGTCTATTGTCCAGGACCGAAGTCCGTCTGTCCAATGGACTTTCGACCTGCGGTTGAATTACCGGTGAGGTCGAGCCAGCCACGGCTGCGAGAGGATGAATCAGGTGTGACGACATGTCAGAGCCTCGAGGACCGTCGAGAAGGACCTCGCCATCCAGACAGGCAGTATGCCCTTGGAACATGACTCTTGAGACCGACCCTCTCAATGTTCTTCCTACGAAGGGCGACCACACATCTCCGACCTGGAGCACATACGGTCGATCGATATCGATTTCGACAGAGGTGGAACTCTGATCGTGCAGTTCAAAGATGGCCTTCGGATTGTCGTGGAGACGTTTGGTGACGTCCTCCATGGTCATCTTTCCTTCCGAGACCGCTGTGAGTAGCAGTGGAAGAGCATCGGTAATGCCGACGGTGGGCACCGCGTTGTCGCCTGCAATCTGGTATGGGAGGCTGCCGATGGAGAAAACGTCAATTATGGGCAGATGGTCCCACAGCGCTTTTTGATCGGCAAGCGTAGGCAGCGCGGGACAGTCCGGATAATCTGCTTGTGACAGGAAGAGGCTGTAGATTGATACATCACAGGTGACTTTCAAACCCTTCTCCTTGGACAGCGCGATGAGGCTGATGTCGTCTTTCGAGGTGACGTTCACAACGTGAACCTTCCGGTCATGGAGGCTGGCCAGTAAAAGAATCGACGCTAGGTCCGTGGTCTTTGCATCGGTCACAATCGGCTTGTACGAGGGCCATGTGCTAAAATGTGCAGTGACAGTCGCGACCTTATTGATGTTGCCAGACGAGAGATGATTGAATGGGATAAACAGTGATCCGACCTCCCCCTTGACGGGAATGATCTGCTCCGAGTTGCTATCCGTCGCGGCGACGGAGAAGTTAAAGTCACAATAGGCTCCACCATGGGCTGCATTGTACTGAGCAATTTTGAGAGATCTGGCATCGGTAACTGCGCCCTCAATGCCGACAGGCATGACTCGGATCATGCTGAAGCCCGCTGCTATAGATGCTTTCGTGACAAGAGAGAAGTCGGGAGATCCTTTCTCCGTAATGCCAGGGACGAATGCAGCGACATTGATGAGCCCTGGAAGCACAACAGTCCGGTGGCTTGTCTGGAAGTCGATATTGCGGATGTTCAAGTCATAGTGCCTGGCCAGAGCCTCGATCAGGATCTTCGCAACCTTGACGTTGGTGATCAGAGGGGTTTGGTAGTCGACTGCCATTCTCCGGGTCCGATATCCTTTGCTCATGTAATTGGCAGGTCTCCTGAATCTATTGTTGGAGGGCAGGTTGATGTAGAGATCAATCATGTTGCTGGCCAGATGTTGGCTCAGCGAGTATTCAGACTTCTGGTCTTTTTCCTCGCTACCGAGAACTTCCAGGTACTTGACCTTGATCCCGTGCTCCTCAAGGAAATCAGCGGTGCCCGACGTCGCGAACAACTTATAGCCCATTTGGTGCAGCTTGCGGACTGATGGAAGCATTTCCATCTTGTCTTTAAATGATCCAATGGAGAGGAGGATGTTCTTCTCGGGCAGCTTGAAGCCGGTCGAGATGGTTGCCTTGATGTACGCTTCATAACGGTCTCGCCCGAATGAGGCAACTTCTCCAGTTGACGCCATCTCGACACCCAAGACCGGATCGGCTCCGGAGAGGCGAGAGAAGGAGAATTGTGGCGCCTTGACACCCACGTAATCTGGCGGGAGATTCACGGGTGGGTATGGAGTAACAGACTTGCCCATGATGACATCGGTGGCCATTTCGATAAGATCAACGCCCATGACCTTCGAGACAAAGGGGAAGGATCTCGAAGCGCGCACGTTGCATTCGATGACCTTGATCTCGTTGTCCTTCGCAATAAATTGGATGTTGAAGGGACCTGTGACATTAAGCGCATTCCCGATCTTTCGTGTTGCTTCTTCAATCCTGGCAATGGTCTCAGGCTCGAGATCTTGCGGGGGACATATGAGCGTTGCATCTCCCGAATGGACACCGGCGTTCTCAACATGCTCGGAAATAAAATGTCCTGTCATAACGCCATCCTTGGCGACCGCGTCCATCTCGATCTCTTTGGCATTCTCAATGTACTTTGTAATCACAACTGGGTGGTCCCTCGACACAGCCACTGCTTGGTTGAGGTAACTTTCGAGGTCGTCTTTTGAATATACCGTGTTCATCGCTGCGCCCGAAAGTACATAGGATGGTCGGACGAGAACGGGATATTTCACCTTCTCACAGAAGTCCAGGGCATCGTCAATGCTGGTAAGTTCTTTCCAGGCTGGCTGGTCCACGTTGATCCGGTCGAGCATACGGGAGAACTTGTACCTGTTCTCCGCCGAGTCGATCATCTCTGGCGATGTGCCCAGAATCCTCACGTTCAGTCTATGCAGGGGCAACGCAATGTTGTTTGGTGTCTGCCCACCCATGGAAATAATCACACCACTAGATGACTCGAGTTGATAGATATCCAGGACTACCTCGAGGTTGATGTTCTCGAAGTAGAGCCTGTCTGCCTCATCATAATCAGTACTTACGGTCTCCGGATTAAAATTTACCATGACTGTCTTGTAGCCCTGCTGTCGAAGAGTACGGATGGCTCTCACCGAACACCAATCGAATTCGACGGAAGAGCCGATCCTGTAGACACCTGACCCCAGCACCATCACGCCATGGTCATTGAATGTGACATCGTGTTCTGTGCCATTGTAGGTGAGATAAAGGTAATTCGTATAAGCGGGGAACTCTGCCGCCACAGTGTCAATCTGCTTGACGATGGGGTGGATACCAGCCTCAGCTCTCAGGCGTCGCACGGCCAGCTCATTTGAGTTCCAATAGCGTGCCAGCTGTCTGTCCGAGAATCCAAGTCGCTTTGCCTGCCGAAATAGAGGTAGAGGTACGGTGGTCGTAGTGAAGGTGGACATGTGCTTTGCAAAGTCGCTGAGACCCTTAAGTCGCGAGAGAAACCACTTGTCAATCTTGGTCATCTCCCAAATTTTGTCTACGGAATAGCCTGCGTGCATGGCGTTCGCGATTGCAAACATGCGCTGGTCCGAGGGCGTTTGCAATTCGTCGTCGACAGACATCAGAGGATTGGACACATCGGAGAAACCCAGGTTGTGGAAGTCAACCGAACGTATAGCCTTTTGGATGGCCTCCTCGAATGTCCTACCGATCGCCATGACCTCGCCAACGCTCTTCATCGAAGAACCCAGCTGTGTAGACACGCGGGTAAACTTCTTCAAATCCCAGCGTGGAATTTTGACGACGACATAGTCAAGTGACGGCTCGAAGCAAGCGACTGTTTTCTTCGTTACCGAGTTGTTGATCTCATTCAATGGGATTCCCAAGCCCAGCTTGGCTGCGATAAATGCCAGAGGATAGCCCGTAGCCTTTGATGCAAGGGCTGAAGATCGCGATAGTCTGGCATTGACTTCGATGATGCAATACTCCTTGGAGAACGGGTTGAGTGCGTACTGAATGTTGCATTCTCCCACAACGCCAAGATGACGGATGACATTGACTGCTGTTGTACGCAACATATTATAGTCTTCATCTGACAGCGTCTGAGACGGTGCAACAACAATCGAGTCGCCAGTATGGATGCCCAAGGGGTCGAAATTCTCCATGTTGCACACAGTGATACAGTTGTCGCGGGCGTCTCGGACCACCTCGTACTCAATTTCCTTCCAGCCCTTCATACTTCGCTCAATAAGGACTTGCGGACTTGCTGCGAAAGCTTTTGTGCAAAGCTCGCGTAGTTGATCAACGTTGTCGGCGAAACCGCTGCCGAGGCCTCCTAGGGCGTAGGCTGCTCTCACGATAACGGGAAAGCCGATGTCCTGTACAACACGCATTGCTTCTTCTAAGCTCGAGGCGGAGGCTGACTTGGCACATTTCTCTCCAATGGACTCCATACTTCGAGCAAAGAGTTCACGGTCCTCTGTGACGATGATGGTATCAATCGGAGTTCCAAGAACTTTGACTCCTAGAGCTTCGAACTCATCCTTAAGTTGGATCCCCACTTGCAGAGCTGTCTGGCCACCAAACGTGCAGTAGACACCATCTGGTCGTTCGTGTTTGATGACCTTGCGAACGAAATCTGCATTCACCGGTAGAAAATAGACTTTGTCTGCTAAGCCCTTCGAAGTCTGTATGGTGGCAATATTGGGGTTGATCAATACAGTGTAGATACCCTCTTGCTTCAAGGCTTTGATAGCCTGACTTCCCGAGTAGTCGAATTCTCCAGCTTGGCCTATGCTGAGACCGCCACTTCCGAGAACAAGGACTTTCTTGACGTTGACCCGAGGGTGGGCTTGCTCATTTTCTTCGACAGTACCACCCGGGAAACTGACGGGTTCCAACAGGGCTTCCACCGAGTCAATGCACTTCATGATGGCATCAATGAAGACGTCAAACAAGAACTCGGTGTCCCGGGGGCCCGGGGTCGATTCGGGGTGAAATTGCACGCTGAAATATGGTCGAGACACATGTCGGATACCTTCGTTGCTGCCATCATTGGCATTGACGAACAGCTCCTCCCACCCGTCTGGGAGTGTCATGGAGTCAACAGCGAATCCATGGTTTTGTGAGGTGATGTAACATCTCCCTGACAACAGGTTCGTGCATGGGATGTTGTGGCCACGGTTACCGAACTTCATCTTCAACGTGTTGGCACCGGCTGCGCGAGCAAGGAGCTGATGTCCCAGACATATCCCAAAGATGGGTGTCCGTCCCTCCTTCATGGCTTCCGCAATGTTTTTGACTGTAGGTGTCATCATTGCAGGATCTCCAGGCCCATTGGAGATGAAAAGTCCGTCGTAGTCTTTCCCAGCCAGCGCTGGAAAGTCATAATCCCAAGGAACTACAAGAACCTCAACTCCCCGTGCTAACAGACAGCGAAGCTGGTTGTATTTGAGACCCACATCCACAACCACCACTCGAACAGGTCTCCCAGACGGATGAAGCAGAGCTCGAGATCTCGGAGGGGAGTAGACTTTGGGTTCCTTCACAGAGACCTCTGCCACTAGATTTCTCTTGTTCTGGTCATGCCACTCGACTTCTTCGACTTGCTCTCGCCAGTTCTGTGGGCCCATCACCACGTCTCCGTTTGTGAGGGGATTCGACTTGACGCCGTTGGTGAGCTTCGACTTCGGAGATGGTCTGGCTTGTAGAATTCGGCCTAGCATGCTGCCTTCTTCACGGATGATCTTCGTCAAAGCCCGGGTATCGACTCCGCATATTGCGGGGACTCCTTGTTCTTTCAACCAGGTGCCAAGGGAAGAAGTTGCTAGATGATGGGAGTAACTCTCGCCAGCGTATGAGGCGACGACCAGGCCGCCGATGTGGATCTCGTCGGACTCGAAGTGCTTGGGGAGATCACCGAGCAACTCATCTAGAGTGTCTCTAGATGGCACACCATAGTTGCCAACCAATGGAAAAGTGATGACCAAGAGTTGACCGCGGTACGATGGATCTGTGATGGACTCTGGATAGCCGACCATGCCAGTCTGGAAGACGAGTTCTCCAGAGACGCTCTTGTCGGCCCCGAAGCTCAGCCCTTCGAAAACCTGGCCATCTTTCAGTTCGAGGTACACCTTGGATTGCTCATCCTTGAAGCTTTGACTCGCAGCCATCAGATTGAGAGCGTCCATAGCATCGCCATCTACTTGGTAGTTCGGGGAGAGTGGCCTCTCGGTGTTGCTGAGCCCGACGGACGCGGCCACAGTTGGGCTCTGAGGCAAATTGCTGTCACTCGACATCGGCCGGCCATCGACAGCTATTGGGACCGTCCGATTCATGGTGGAAGGCGTGGGTGGACCGCTGTCGATACAGCAGCCAGGTGTTCAGGGGAGCATTTGATGACGAGGGTTATGTGCTTGCCAGTAGGTGCGGCCCTTGAGAGACAGAACGACAACAACTACATGATAGACAGTTTCAATAATGAGTTCACGCTGAGAAAGAAAATGTTCCTCAGACTTTTGATGCCAAGAGAGAATCCAGCCAATCATAAAGTGGCCGCAGCCATGCGCTAATGCCACCGCCCGTTAGCTCGCTTTTTTTGTTTTCTCTGGCGCCGAGATCAGGAGTCGGTGACGACACCGGATCTTGCAGTGCACAAAAGCTACTTGGTAAGGGACGGCTAGGTGACGGCTAAGTGACATCCACCACGTTCTAACGGCTGTGTCTCGCTCACCCCTTCCTTAGAGAAATGTGAATTTAGGAGACGACTCCTCTATCCGTACGTAACCAGGGGAGGTCTCGATATTGGTATTGTTCGATATGTTCTCCCCACCACGCAGTTCCGTGAACAACTAGCTTCCATCGTTGAAAGTCGCTACTCCACGCCGTGCCCCCAACACTCCGCTGCATCCTCAGCTGCAAGCAACCGAGAAATTCTGCACGCTTACTGCGACCTTGCCCACCTTTGCAGCTGCGATGGGGGTTCCCCCAATCAGATTATGCATCGATCCCTCAGGGCTCTTATCTTTACCGAGCCTCTGAGCCAGTACTTGAGGTCACCAAGTACACATTTTGTCCAGATGACCTCGGCCTCACTTGTAGGCCACCGACGTTGTCTGTACACCGTACCAGTCCTTTCCTCGATCGTCACATGCAGATGTATTGCTGTGCTTTGGATGCTTTTGACACTTGCAGCAGCCTGGAATGCAAGTGCTAGTGGTAAGGTGGAGTGCAAGTGGGATGGCACGGCGATCACCACACTGCCATTCCTCATCTCCCATTCCCAAGCTCCTGCAAAGATCTCGACTATCAAACTTCGCCGAAGGGCTTCGCCCTCCCACTGTCTGCTTCTTGTCTCTCCCTAAGCCCTTCTGCTCTGAGTGGTTTCGAGCTGTTTACCGAGAGTCTTGTTCTTGCGCATGCGCCGGCGTTAAAATGTATTCCGGCCCTTCTTCCTATATGTTTACGCGTCTGCACCACTAAAGAACCCTGCGCTTGTTGCTCGAGCTTCACATACCTCCCCCGCGCCACCACTTTCTAAAGGCCCGACCATGCTGTCATTCTCCCTCCGGCGGTCTGCAAGGACTCGCAGACATCGTGATCGCTCACCGTTCTCCTCGACCTACACTCCGACGACGCGTTCCCCCGAAACTTCACGAAATGCTCCTCGACGCCGCAGACGGTCACCACAAGCACAATATGATGGGGCGATGGAAGATGAGGGGAATGATAGTGAAGCAGATGACGACGAGGAAGAGGTGGACGATGAAGACGGAGCTGACGCTGGGAACGGTGACGAGGATGAAGACGGCCTCGACGATCGCGAACCCTTGCTTCCAATCTTTTCAGCTGCGCATCTCGATGCCATACCAGTCTTTGCTCTCACCCATGCTGTTCGATTGTTGGTCACCTCCCGTTGCGACACGGTCTTGTCCTGGGAGCAGCTCCGAGCCCCCCAGATCTCGCAGTTCCTAGTGAAGCCTATAGAACAAGAGATTCGCAACAATCATCTCAATGCTGCCACACATTATGCTCTTATGGCCAACTGTCTTCAGTACGGAAAAGAAGCTGCTATGACCTCGGGCAACAGTGGGACGAATAGAACTCGTGCCATGGTCTGCGAGCTGCTCGCGATCAAGATGCTTAGAGACTTCTCTACAAGAGGATTGATTGACGCTTTGTCATACGACTTTGACCCTCTGCAAGGACACCTGGACGCTGTACCACATACTCAGGACGAACGGAGGTCCACGGTAATTTCCAGAAGGGGAACCCAGCGCCCAGCGAGAATATCCTGCTTCGAAATCGCCATCCGTGCTCAGGCCAAGAAGTTCCTCTCTCATCCCATGGTGGTGAAGCAGCTGGAAGCGATCTGGGCCGGCACTATCGTCTTTCACTCTGCTGCCGACAACCTGCATCGCCAGTCTCCATCCGCGAGCAAACAGCTGAGAAGCTACGGGACAAGTGGTGGGAACTCAACCAGCAAGCTAGTTCCCACTAGCATTGAAACTCAACCTGCGCGACGAGCTGTTACGCTGTACAATCCTCGCGACGCCTCCCTCTTCAAGCTGTCCCGGTTGCGTGTCCCTCGATACCGCAACATTCTCTCCACCTTGTCCTTTGCCGTCCTTCTCAGCTTGTTTGTGGCCGTCCTTGTGGAGCGATCGCTGGAGATTACGACACTCGAAGTCATTTTCTGGTTTTGGGCGGCGGGCTACATGCTCGATGAGATTGTGGGCTTCAACGAACAAGGCTTCAGTCTCTACATCGCGAGCTTCTGGAATACGTTCGACCTGGGAATCCTTGTCCTGCTTCTCATCCACCTGGCGCTCCGGCTGTATGGCATACTGATGCCCGACGTGAGGAAACACTATGTGGCCAACATGGCGTACGACGTGCTCGCCGCTGACGCCATCCTGCTGTTTCCCAGGCTGTTCTCTGTTCTTGACCATTACCGCTACTTTTCGCCGCTCTTGATTGCCTTCCGATACATGGCCGCCGACCTTGTTGCAGTCTCACTGTTGATCCTGATCAGTTGCAGTGGGTTCTTCGTTGCGCTGACTTTGTCTTTCGGCAAAGATGGCGTTGACACTCCTAGCTCGGTGGCATATGCGCTACTCCAGATGCTGATGGGGTTCACACCTGCGGCGTGGGACCGGTGGAACGAATACAATGCCTTGGGAAAGACCATCCTGACATTGTTCTTGTTCATCTGTCACTTCCTCGTGGTCACCATCCTGATCACCGTACTGACGAATTCCTTCATGGCCATCGTCCGGAACGCGAATGAAGAGCATCAATTTCTGTTTGCAGTCAACACCATCTCCCACGTCAAATCTGATGCTCTCTTCTCCTATGTCGCACCGACCAACATCCTGCAATGGCTCCTGGTGCCTCTGCGGTACTTTGTTCCTTTCCGGCAGTACGTCAAAGTCAACAGAACCATAATCAAAATCACCCACCTACCGCTGTTATTCTCCATTTTTGTGTACGAGAAGACTATCCTGCAGTCTACCGTGTACGACAGTATTGATCTCGTTGACCACCGAAGCAAAGGGAGAAGAGCGCCCAAATTCCCGCGCCTGACCAGGGCCCCTTCCATTGCCACTTTCAGGCAAGATAGAGCCCTGGAGGAGGTATTCAGACAGCCTTTTGACGCCACGGTACGGGGCGCCCAACGAAGTCGCGATCTCCGTAAGGCGAGCAACGTGGTGAATACATGGATGAGTAAAATGGGCGACGATGCCGTGGAGCCCCCACAGGAGCAGGACAGGCAGGTTGTTGACAGACTAGAGGCGAAAGGGTCATCCTTTCGCCGGCCACGCCACTTCAGCCGGGTCCGCGATTTCTCACGCCGCACAATGTCGGTCGTGTCTGATCCGGCTGATTTTGCAACCGCTGCGGATGTCTTTTCTCCAGCCGAAAGACAGCCAGTGATGATAACGCCCTCGGCCATGGAAGAGCCCAATCACCATACGGACGCGGATGGAGACGATGAACTACACACCAACGATGAGATTGACGAGGAAGAAACCACAGCGTCCGAAACTCGACCGCCAAATGAGGACGAACGTGAGACACATAATAGGGCTAATGCCGCCGTTGAGCGCCGTGACTACTTTACATCTAAGCAGTCGCCAACAGCTCCCGCACCCGACGACGGTCAGCCTGTAAGGACAAATCCCCACGCCAGGCTTGATAAGGCATATTCTCCCAGGCATGGGCATCCCTCGCACACGCGCAACGTGTCAACCGCAACGATGATATTCAAACCAGTGTTAGACTCCAGCACCGAGCAATCTTCCTCCATTGGGGGCACAATAGCTCCAGTCACAAAGGCACAGGTCTCGGCCCCCGCATCAGGAACTCGGACACCACTTTCCAAACCTGGATCCCATACTCCAGGCCACCGGACACCAAAGCGACCTACAGCAGGCCCGACTCGAATGCGACCGGTCCTGCCTGGTAAAAGTGAGCAAGCCTTTCGATCAACCCCGAATCTTGCCGGACTGCTACCAGTTCCAGGACAACCTCGGCGAAGACCGTCGCTTGAACTGGATCTTGTTTCAGATATTGGTGATAACCAAGCAGTCGGTGGCGGCTTCATTGGGGCGCTACCAAGTTCCTTTGCCGCCCATGTGGCGAAAGAGGCTGTCGAGTCACGACATGCCAAGGAGCAGAAAGAGCAACAGGAGATGTTTACCAAGATTATGATGGCTAGGATGAACTCACTGGAAGAAAGTTTCCGAGATGTCATTCACGAGATGCGAAGCCATCTGCGGCACGGTAAAGGAGCCAGCCAGAGTCGCGGCCGCGGTCGCAAAGACCGATTTGGAGAAAAGGAAGCCATCCGGCCAGCCACGGCAGATGCTGACACGGAAAGGCCTAGTCCTAAGTCAAGCAGAGCTCTGGAGAAGCGCACTTTTGCTCAATCGGAGCCAGGCGCGACGGTGACTGAGACGGCAGACAAGGAAGCAAAGGAGTCTGGAAAGATTCCAGCCCACGACCGGCCCGTGTCTCGTTGATGAGGATCAGCGGATGCGCACCTTGGAAAGACCTGTCATGTAACATTTGGGCGGCCGTGTTTTTGCATTGATACCCAGGATGACCCATGCGAGCTGGGTCATAGGCGTGTAGATTGAATAATATTGAGGCATACCAACTTGCCCCCTCCCCAGTGTCATAGCCTTGAGCCTGGTGAGCCTGCAAGGCTGGGTGCGCCACGTGGCGACTGACTTTGGTTGGCGTGTTTAGCCACATTGCCGCCACTCTTTTTAGCGTGACTGAGTGACGCAACTGCCACAAGGGCACCTACTCGTAACACCATGCGCAGTGGCCTAGGCCAAAGCCGCAGCAACAGGGACAGTCCGTTGAAGTTCTCTCGCTCGTGCCCCGACAACCCTTTCTCATCATCTCCGACGTCAACTATCATTTCAACTGACCACGTCGAAGAACGCTCGAGACGTGTGCCCATTTCTCCAATCACTGCAGGATAGCGCCTGGCGCCTTCGGATATGGCCTCGAGTTCAGGCCAGTCAAACCAGCTGCTCTAGTAGGTGCACCTGTCGCATGCTCGGAATGGTTAAACGCTGACAGCACATTACAGTGCTTGCATCGCCCATGGAACGACCATCCTAACCGAGCACACCTCTCCCGGCACGTCATCCTCGTCGGCCTCGTCTCTCGCCTCAGTCATTCTCCCTAAAATCTCCCATTCTAGTCCAGCAAAGCTCACGTACACACACGATCGGCTGTTCGTGCACTATATAGCCGACTCTCCTTCGTCGACCTCGAATGGCTCGGACGAACAGCTTTCAAGCCATGCAGCCCTCACGTACCTCGTGGTGGCACAGACGGAGATGGGCCGGCGCATACCCTTCGCTTTCCTGCTCGAACTCAAGAAGAAGTTTCTGACGCAATACAAGCCCGAGTCGACGGACTTTCAGTCTCTCCCCGCGTATGGCACGGCAGCGTTCAACTCGACGCTCAAGGCCATGATACAGCAATACAACACGGCTCCTCCCAGCGACGCTCTCACCAACGCACGCAAAGAAATTGACAGTGTCAGGGATATCATGACGGAGAACATTGAGCGTGTGCTGGAGCGAGGTGAAAGGATCGATCTCTTGGTCGATAAGACTGATCGGCTTGGGGGTAGCGCAAGGGACTTTAGGGTACGAAGCAGGGGGCTCAGACGACAGATGTGGTGGAAGAACGTCCGGGTCATGGTGCTGTTGGTGGTTGTGGTTATCTTTTTGATCTATCTGTTTGTTGGGTTCGGCTGTGGTCTGCCAGCGTGGAGCAAATGTGTGGGCTGAGGACGACGTGAAACCCGCTCGAAAAGGCTTGGTGTCTCTTTCGCACAATTCTAGGGCTGTACAGTATCTTGCACTCGCGATTCACGACTACTGGACTGAGGTCATATTTGTTGCTATGGCGATGTATTGAGATGACCTCGCCTGCGATACCACCTTTGCATGTTCTGCTCGTCGCTGTGCCAGCTTCTGTGAAAGAAGCAGCCAACATCCTGTATCAATAAGGGATGAATGAAAGCAGGATGTGTATAGGTAGGGTATCAGGCAAGTGAGTTGTGTCTTTGTGTAAGCAGCCAGGCCATCGGGCCGCTAATACATACTGTAGGTGGCAGCCCTATACGGCGTAGGTGGGAGATGCGACCCACAGTGCGCCGTACTGAGTTGTCGCTCATTTTTCTCTCAGCTTCGTCTTTTGTGCATTTTCGATCATCAAATGTATCTCAGTCTGCACGTTGCTGGAATCTATTCATTGAGCCTCTTTCCTTATTACCAGTAGGTTTGCTTGGGGAAGGAGATTGACAGCATAGGATAGGCTCGTGAAAGCATGGCGAACCTGCGGCGTCAGGCTTTGCTTGCCTGTTTGCCTATTCTTTTGTTGTGGATGAACAGCGCCATCCCTGCCAGCACTTTCTTCTCGCCATTGGTTCCTTTGCGGCATTGAGTGGATTGATTTCCAGGGGAACCAGCATCTTAATGGCGGGGAAGCGTGTTGCATATGCAGCTGAGTCTCAAAGCGCCCGTGACTGACATGCTCAGGCAGACATCAGTGCCCGTTCCGCCTCACTTCACTTCACTCTTACTTCAGCCTGGACCAGAATTGTCGCATGTCTCTGACTCTTCTTCAATTTCAATTCAGTTCCAGTTTCGCGAACTATGTATTGACAGTGCAAGCATCCAGCCGTATGACCAGCCTGGTACACAATCTTGCGGCTGCCTCAGCCTCACCCCGAACATCTGAGGCGAATTATCAGACCGACGGGGCAGCCTGAAGACCGGCTTACCTTGGGCGTGTGAGGTTCGCAATGAAATGGGCTCTTTGAATGCAAGACTGTGCTAAGCCGTTCTAGCTTCGAGATCTCCAGACACGAAATCATTTCTTCGTCGCTAACAGGACAAAATCCCTGGGAACGCAGCGCGAACATTAGTCGACATGGATCTACCACATCCCGACCCAAAACATACCGACGTATGGCCTGCTACCCCTGCTAATCCGTGCTGGAAGGACGCCTCGAATGTTACCGCTAGCACTTCGGCTACTTCCCAGCGGATCCTAAACGAGCACGCAGACCTGGCCGAAGCTATCAGACTGTCACTCGAGCACCGGCAAGACTCGCTGCTTCAAAAGCGGCTACCAGTCGAGGGTGACTCAAGTGGACAGTCTCTGGAACTTGTGCTCAGCCTCAACAACGAGTTTGATCCGCTGGATCAACCGGAGGACGACGTGGCAATCTACTTCGGTGCTCCACCACAAGAGGTTGGGCAGACAGATCAGGACTATCAGTACATTAAGCATCACTTTGATCGTGTCCATGTCCTCAATTGGAGAACTCTCCGACTCATGGGCGACGAGTCGAGGTTCACCGACAATGATTTGCTGAATCCGACGAAATCATTCCGTGCGGAGCGAAGGTTGAGGAAAGAACACCGCATCGTGCTTGAGAGGGCGGAAAGGAAGCACGGAGGGAAATTCAGATGCTACATCGACCTTCGCCCGCCCAAGGAAGATGAGGAAGCCGTGATTCTCATCACCGAACTCTCCTGCACTCGAGGCGTGCTCACGTGGCATCACGCAAGAGAGCATTACAATCTCACACCTTTATCCGTACTAGGTCATGATGACTTTGGAGGACAACCTCCAGCCCAAGCCGCAGGGCAACAAGCTAACCCTTCCGGTACCGTGGGAGAGACCCCAGCAGATGCTACGACCAGCCCGCCCAACCTCTTGGAACTTGCGCGAAAGCTGGTTAAGGCACCCACATCATTGGCACCAAATTCACAGCCAGCAGTCGCCGCAGAGTATTCCGCCCTTCGCCACCATTCTGCTCTCGAAAGACTGTTGCAGGCCATCAGTGGGAAGAACCCAAAGCTCGACTCGGCTCCGAAGGTTTGGACGTTCTTCGCTCTTGCTCGTTACTTCGGCTGTGGTGCGCATGAGCGCATCGCGCGCTGGATTACTACCTGGCTTTATGCAGACAACAATGCCAACTTCATCCAAAATAATCCCGAAGTTGCGTATCGAATTGCCATGGGCATTAAGTCTCCAGATCTTATCAAGGCTTCATTCTCAATCCTGGTCGGCGAGCGAGCTCTCATTGAAGTCTATGGAGAACAGAGGCCAGACATTCTCGCACCACTCCGCCAAAACGTCCATGGCCGGAAGCTTGAGCTTCTCGATGACGATGAACGCAATCGCATTGATCACGCAGCCTCGTCTCTTGTAAAGCGGATCCGGGACATCACCTCCCGTATGTGCGAACACCTAACCTTCCTACGAGAGAGCGCCATGTATGACGTTCTTGATAAGACTATCGCAGAGACGCCGGAAGAGGCGTCGTTATTGATTTCAGCGAAAAAGACCATCCACGAATACGTGCGGTCAAGAATCTATTATGTCCTCTGCCAGGATCAAAAGCATTTTGCAGAGCTAGAGCAGGATGTGAAATCCACTCTCAGATTCCGATCAGCTACGGCGAACAGCTTTTCTGAAGTGTATAAGACCCTCAACCCATCAACGAGGCCCTTCACAAAGACCTTTTGGCTTGCTTTACAGCATACGCAATTTGACATTGGTCACACGAACATCGCCGCTAAAGGCACTACCTCGTTTTTTTATGACACCGATCACACCCTCGAGTTCAAGGCGCTCTACCAAGAACAGCCAATGTACGGCATCACCCAGATTCTACGGTCAACGTTCGACGAAAAGATTATTGAGGTGAATCGGATGTTGTGCGAGCGAGAGCTTGCGAAAAGCCGGAGCCTGAACGGCTTTGAGCATCCTGTCTCTGAGATGAGTCCAGGTGTCGTTCGCGATCCCACTGACTTGGCGCTGGACAAACTTGCGATCAAAACTCCCCCAAGAAGCCCTTTATCTCGACGGGCAGAAGAAGGATCTTCACCCACCAAACGTCGTAAGACCACCGAAGCCGAGAAATTCCTTCATGGTTTCTGGGATACAGGCAGTTCAGCCCCTTCTTCCAGTAATCCAGGTGCCACCAAGGAAGTAGCCTTCCCTGCCAGCCTGTCAAATCTGGGTTCAGCCCCAGCCGCAGAATTGGGAGGCGGATCAGACTTGTTCTTGTCCTCGCCCGATCGAGCGACCGCTCCAGCCGTATCTGGGGAATGTCGTGGCAGGAGCAGCGCTCGGAAATCTACTTACGGAAATCCAGCATCCCCAACCCCGTCACTGCGAAGCATCGATGGCTGTCTAGCTTCGCAGGTAGAGAAGGCAGCTACAGTCCCGAGCAAAAGTCAAGCTACTCTTGCCTTGCGACAGAAGGCGATGAGGATGGATGCTTCTGGTCCTGCCCAGAGGGGTATTGAAGATCAGCGACTCGAGGAGCAGCAACCAACAGTCGAGCATATACAGCCGGGGCCGACCCAGGCCACCGCGTGGACGGAAAAAGTAGCAGCGTTCCTCGCAAAACACAAGAGCCACAAGCATAACTCAACCCCGCCCAGCCATCTTGAGGCTAAACCAATGGCGATGAACAACACTGAGGAAGTAATCCCCCCGGAACTTCCACCGTCAGCTTCATTCTCAGAAAGTGAAGCAGGAGCAGGCATTGGAAATGGCTCGAACTCTAGCTCAAGCCCACCTGCCGCCACTAAAGAGCCACCTTCCACGGAGGCAGGTGAAATGCCCGTGAATCCTACACCGCAAACAGCAGGGTCGTTCCCATATAGCCAGAGGTCTTTCAATGGCTCCCGCAAATTCATGTCTGTGCCTCAGCAGCCATTACAACTGACCTCCGGAAGTAGCAGCCGCGCCGTCCAACAAGCCTTTTTGAATAGCAACACCCGTAGACAGACCGAATACCTGTCCGGCCACTGCAAAGCCACTCCCTGTGCAGAATTGAGGAAGCAGGCCTTGTACCCTATCAATCCGCAGGAGATGCTCCACGAAATTGGCGCAGCTGTGGGGGAAATCTGCTCTGGTGTTCTATACCCGCCTCATCTGTTCCATCACACCGGCCTGTTGCCGACAAATCTCGTCGACACCGTGCTCAATCTCGGTGAGGATGAATTCCGGTACTTACCGCTCTGGGTGCCGGACGGCAACGATGACGGAAGCGGTGGTGTGTTTGATGAGACACCGGTGCCAAACATAGATCCCGCCAGAGTCACCTTCGAGTCTTTCGGCCCAGGGCGAATCAGAAGACCCTATGATCAAGCCGATTCGCCGATCAGCAACAGTGACAGCGACATTGAAGAGATCAGCAGCAGTCAGGGCATCTCGACAGTCGGCAAGGCGAGCAAACTAGCCACCGACGGGACACATACGGTGACGAGTTTGTCCTCTGACACTTCCAGCGCCGATGGCGGCAGCGCGGATGCGGACGTCGTAGTTGTTGATCCGGCACGCGATCCCTGGGGCGGGGTCGATGTCGATTTCGGCGAAGGTGTTCCAAGTCGAAATACCGCGGACGGCTCAGAAATGACAGATCCAGACACCGAACTTAGGACCTGCGAAACCGGCGATGACGCCAACGAAGCCGACGTCGATACCATCAACGGGGACGACCCGCTTGAAAGGGAAATGACGGCGAGCCTGCGGGCCTTCGTCGCTGGCGGCGATGATGCCGAGTCTGCCTCCAACGAGCCATACGAGGGTAATAATACAAGCGATCCAGACGCGCTCGATATCAAGCCTGCTGCTCACCCTGCATTCCTCCACACTGCGGCGGCGGCGGCGGCGGCGGAGGAGGAGGAGGAGGAGGAGGAGGAGGAGGAGGAGGAGGCGGCCGAAGTGAAAGCGGAAGGAACTGGAGAAGGGAAAGAGACTGGGAGAGCAAAAGCGCAGAATCACCCGTTCCTACCGCCGAATCGGCACGAAGACGACGAAATCCAACATCACGCGCAGATTCAGACCGCTCACTCCGCCCAGTCCGCCCAACTGACTTCCGACGTCCGACATGGCGCCATGCCGCACCCCCAGGATGAAGACGAGGACGAGTACGAATTTCTTTGAAACCCACTGCCAACGCGTGATGCGCGGATTAAGTTCCTCCAGCGTACACAATACCAGATCTAAGGGGTTCTACAGAGCTGCCACATTGAGACCGGATCGCGACAGGTCGAGAACTGGGGCCAATGCTTTCCGTCATATACAAGCCCGCGTTGGGCGGTGGGCGGTGGGTTAAAAACAGTCACTTCACGACCGAGAAGGGTATGATGAAAGCTTCTATTTCGAGCAACGTATTTGATTACAGAAAGATTGGGAAGAACCGAGTGTCTACTCAGATTCCACGAGGCTGTACTTGAGATGAAACTCTCGTTAAAAGAATGTGACACTGATAATTTGGGAATGGGAACCTGGAATTGGGCTTGTTTCTGTGCACGTATTTCTGCTAAAAAGTGCCTGCACCTTGCATACAGGTTCGCTGGATCGAAGGACGATCTATCGGCGATGCGTTCCCTTCCGTGCAATTCCAATTAGGGCTCTCGTGCACCAACCCTGTCAGCCCGCAATATGCCTCCTGCCATGGTCTTCTGCCCTCTCTCTCGCAAAGCTAGCAACACATTTGTCGGATGAATGAAAGCAGGGGTGGGGGTACAGGGCGCTATGTAGTACAGTCATCTGGCGAAAAGAGAAAGCTCGAGAGTCGCCGGTCGTCTTGTTCCGCTCTCGCGCGAGCTTTGGTCTCAATTTGTTCGGGATATCCAATCATGGGCTTTCACTGATACGGGTGTCAGTCTCCAAGGGGGTTCAGCAGATGAATTCGATGTCGCTCACTGAAATCTCCTCCATGGCGTCCTCGCCAGTGGTGGCTGCGGGAGCAGCACCATTCGTAGCGGTAGCATCGGTGTTCGTACCGGCGGCGGACGGATTGTTGCCTCCCCAATAGTCGGTCATTTCGGCGTCGAGTTCTTCAGCGGTCTTGGCCTTTGGTCGCGAGTTCCGGCCACGCTTTGGCTTTCCGGCTTTACCAGCAGGTCGCCCCTTGGCACTATCTTTTCCGACGACTTTCTTGGTCGCAGTAGCTGACTTGGGTTGAGCCTTCGGGTTGGCGCTGGTCTTGGTCAGTGGCCCCGACTTCCCCGAGTGTTTTGGGTTTGCGTACGCAACACGTTCCGCAAGTGACTTGGCTGGAGCCGGTGTTGGAACATGGCTTGCGTCTACCACCACTTCGATCTAGCTGAGGTCAGGGAAAAAAAATCCAGGCATGCAGTGGACGGTGTCGTGCTTGCCTTCATTGGTCGCTTGTCCACCAGCATTCCATTCAGGTCTTTTGCTGCTTTGGCCGCAGAATCTGGCTTGGAGAAGATGATGTCTGCAATACCACGGCTCTGACCGGTCTGGTTATATTGCAGGGAAACCTTCTTGACGTTGCCTACGGATTTGCCGAAATATTCCTATTCGGCCGAGAGTGATCAGTAAGGTGCTGTGGATGGATAGTGATAGCATATCTCCGCTTCGTTCGTCCCCAAGCAAGAAATTGATAAGACATGCTTCCACCGTAGAGTCCAGTCCAGGTACATATTCTTGCAGAGAAGCATCAGCAAGTGCATAGGCCAGAGCGATAGCATGTCAGCAGCGAGATGGTGTGGCACACGTGTGCTCGATGAAGGCTGGTACTCCTGCCTGCCAACCAACCGATGTTGCTAATGTCGTGCAAGAGGAACCGACGAGTTGATCGTGTGTAAACCGGCTGTTGAGAATCATCAACCGGCGTCACAGTAGCGATGAGTTGGAGATGTCGCTGTATTGATGTAGGCTCCGGTGGGACGTCGGGTGTACTGCGCGCGGCATTGATGAATAGGCCTGGCAAGCTGACTCCTGTTCCCTAGTCTCTCGCCTGCTTCTTTCCCAGATGGCGATAGGATGGTCGCTGGAGTGCCAGTGGGCTCGTCTGCTGGATGCGCTCTGCTGATGTGCTGTGCTTTCTTCAACTCTGATGCAACTTGCTGATGCTCCATGTGGTCAAGGTTGTGAGAATCTCAAATGCGTCTCAGCATGACGAGAAGTTCTCTGGGCAGATCTGCTTCAGACCCTGCGCGGTGGCTAGCCGCCGGGAATGATGTTGCGAGATCGTAGGCAATCCATGTTCTCAATAAGCTGCATCGCAACAAACAAATGCGAGCATGAGAGTGCAATGGACAACAGCGCCCGCCCTATATCAAGCCAGCTTTTTCAGCATGGCGATATGATCCATGGGTGTAGCCTCTCCGGTCTTGCCACTTCTTCAATGTTCTTTCTCGACGTCTTCGACATCTCTCCTCGGACACGGTCGCGTAAAGAGCGCGAAAGAATAACAGGCGGTGGACGGGCGGCGATGGAAATCCAAGGTCGATAAGCCTCGTAATCAACATACCTTGATCTGGGCTTCGTTGACATCGAGTGGCTGGGATATCTGTTAGCGGCGACGAGGTGAGCATTGACGACGGTCGAGACATACCAAGCCACTGACGACGATCTTGCTGGAGCGAGCTTGAGCTGCAGCGCCAGTTGCGGGCTTGATGGCCGACTTGACGGGTCTCGTTGCCTTCTTGACACCACCGACAGGAGCAGTTGTTCCGGAAGGCTTTCCGACCTTGCGACGACGAGTCTCGCGTTTTGCCTTCTTCTGGCTATCAATGATGGTGTCGAGAGATTGATCTAGCCTGCCAGACATCTTGAACGTGTGACTTGAAGGTTCAAGGAAGAGGTTGTGAAGGTGGAGGAAAGTAGAGAAGGATAATGAGTGTTGTGGTGGTCGTCCGAGAGCCTTTCTGCAATCGATTTGCGCCACAGGATAAGCAAGTGATTGGCTTGTCGCAGCTCGTCAAGTTGCAAGCTTGAAAGAATTTACAGAGGAGATAGATGTTGAAACAAACGGGTGATGAAGGCGCAAGAAGAATTAGATATGCGCTCGAATAAAGTGGTGGCAGTGACACTGCAGTGAAGTGAAAGTGAAAGGAAGGAGGTGGCTGCTCCTGTGAGCGTACCTCGTCCTCCGTAGCCTAGGGGGGAATCGGAGGCAACAGCCGCGAGAAGCCGCTAAAACAAGGCTACATAGCTAGATCCGTTTCGGGTTGCTCGCCAATAACATGTCACGAGCCTATTCAAAGCGATCGCCCGGGCATCTGAATGACAGCGAGACAGCACTCCTGTGTCCAGCAACGCCAGTCCATGTCCCATCAATCCTCGCCTTCATCATAGCCAGATCAACTCTTCAGTTCCTCTAGTCTGCCTCGCATTTGTTCTAGTTCCGCTTCTCTGTCTTCTTCCTCGTCTTCTTCCTGCTCGACAGGGAGCTGTGGCAGTTGCTGTTCCTGCGTCCCGAGTTTGCCTTTCAGCACTTCTCCCAGGACCTTGTCGACTTCCGTCTCAGCCTCCTCGTCCTCTCCTTCCAGCAGCTCATCGTTTGGCAGAGCGTCGCCCACCATTTCGTCAATGATGCCGGCCTTCATCAATTCCTGACTCAGTTCCTGCATTGTCCCCGTCAATTCCGGCAGTCGGATTAACGTGTTAACATCCTTCATGATGCGGGTGCTTGCCTTGAGGCTCCCTTCGATCTTGCGAACTGAGAAAGCCTCGTTCACCTGCATCTGCACGCTCTGTAGTTGTGCCTTACTGGTGTGTAGTCTTGCCGACTGTTTCCGCACTTTGATCAGCTCTCGCGCAAAGATCCGGGCCTCGTTGGCTCCTTGTTTGGCTTGTGACGGGTTCTTCTGTCCTCGTTTGGCAGCGTTCAGAATGAGAGCGCGGGTCTTTTGCTCGGTGACTTTGAGATTGGTAATGTCGCGGTCGAGCCCCCGCACATTCTTGCGAATGATGTTGTCACATTTCCGTTTCTACAGACAGAGGTCAGCCTGCGTTGCCATATAGCCAGAGCCCGACAACGCACTTGTTCCTGCGGATCCGGCTTGAAGAAAACCGCCTTGAATGACTGCATGCTGGCGCGATAGGTAGTCCTGAGGGATACTGGTCCTTTGGCTGGGATTTGTCGCAGCCTGGTTGCGACCAATTACTGAGCCATGGCGGACGTGAACAAAGTACCGCCGTCAGGAGGCTCACAGTGAGAGTGTACAGTCTTGATAGATGACAGCGGTAGAGGGCGCATGCATTTGTCTCCCCGGAGCAAGTTGCCCGAAGTCGAGTTGGTAGGGCTGCTCCGAGGTGCTGCCTTGCGTGCTTGGTGAGGGAGGAGTGGGGGATGGGGCGGCTACTGTTCGCGCAAGGTGGGATACTGTAGCTTCTGGCCCAGTTCGATGTCATTCTATTCGTTGCTGGCATCGTCCTTTTCCATTCAGTCTCTAGAACCTACAGCCCACGCACACAACGAATCTTCCGCAGTCAGGCGCATTAAAGCGAGCAGAACATTCTTCCCGTGTCTCTGTGCAGCAGTCATACCTTCTCAACTCAGCACTTGTCCCTACATCCATCACTCCCAACTTTGTATCTTCTGAGACCAGTAAACCCTCTAATTCTCAATCCCCAAAATGTCTTCTCAAGCTACTCCCGAAGGTAAAGTCCCCCGATCGCCCGCTTCCCGTACATGGAACAGTGATATTGCCACTGTCAAGTCCCCTCTGGTACCTGACGAAATACTGACATTGGCATTGCAGTCCTGTGGGCTCAGCGCTCATCCGCCACCGAGGCTGAGAAGAACTACGTCTACCTGACCATCAGTGTGCCTGATGTTCCCCCCAAGTCTCTCAAACTTGACCTGAAGCCGACCGGCCTCACCTTCACCGGCACATCCGAAACCAAGAAGACCACATACCACCTCGAGATGGAATTCTTCTCCGAGATTGACGTGGAAAATTCAAAGACGCACCACACGCCGGCCAACATCCAACTGATTCTGAGAAAGAAGGAGATGAAGGAAGAATACTGGCCGCGCCTGCTCAAGGACTCGGCAAAGGTTCACTACTTGCGCACAGACTTCGACAAGGTATGTTGCCCACAATCCAATTGTCTTTGCAGCCAATACTAAACTCAATCTCAGTGGGTCGATGAGGACGAACAGAACGAGGCTCCCGAGGATGACTACATGAACCAGTTCGGTGGCGGGCTCGGCGAAGACGGCGGGTTCGGTGGCATTGACTTCTCCAAACTTGGTGGTGGCGCTGGTCTCGGCGGAGACAGCCCTGCCGACGCCGAGGGCGCGGACGACGATGACGAAGAGGGGGATGACGACGATGATGACATGCCCGACCTCGAAGAAGACGAGGATGCAGGTGAAAAAGGCAAGGGAAAGGCCAAGGAGGCGGCGTAGAGGCGTCAGTCATGCGACACCTCGGTGCGAGCTCCTGAAGCAAGCAACCCAAGACGATACCCACCTGCACAGGTTGCGCTTCTTGCCCGCCCCATCAAGGCACTCGAAGACGACGACAGAAGATCCCAGTCCAGTCGGGCCTTTCCTTTCTACGACTCCGTGCCACCAAAATCCACCCCTAGCTCACTGTTCCTGCGCTGTCACCACTACCTCTAGAACCCTCCCTTTCCCGTTGAAAAGCACGGAGTATGGTTTGCGACCGGGGGTGATGGAAGAGACGGTCTTTCCAAAATCAATCGCACCGCTATCTTAATTCTCATCTCCAGGCTGGATCGATTGTGACAGGGAGTCCCCAGACAGGGTCATTCTGGTATCGAGTTTTTGGAGAGGAGCACATCCATCCGTCCCATTGCTGGGCCGTCGGAAATACACAGTACACCCGTTCAAATCAAGAATGATCTCTCACCCGGGCATCTAACGTGAGACCGAAGCAAGTGTCCGGCCGTTCGTCCGTCCTTTTGTCCATTTTCCACGTCTCTGAAAGCCCTAGCTCCCCTTTCCGCACATCCACACCTGCTATTTGACTCGCCAGGACGTATTGCAGTTCCGTTGTACTGGCTGTGCAGTACACCGCGCCTTCCTTTCAGGCGTCCAATATTGAAAATCTTGATAGCACATGTAGGCTTCACCGATTATGCGGTCACGTTCACCTCGTCTGAGCACCTACTGTCCTGTACCGAGGCCACCTACCTAGGTACAGTAGATACGTTTGCTGAGTCATAGGACATGCCTGGCGCGGTCTTGGGTGTTTTGTCCTTCCATCACTACTTGTACCACTGGAAGTTAGGCCCCTACCTACCTACCTATCACTACACTCTACTGGGGTAGGCAGTCTTGGTTAGGTGCTTCGCGTTTGGGTGTCGAGTGGGTGTCCTGGTGCCTGGTGCTTACATAACGGCCCGAGCACTAGCGCCACAACGTACTAGGTAACCTACTCCGTACAGTAGGTACCTAGTGGGTTGCACTTGGGTGTGTAGGTTTAAATGTCCCGATCCAGGACTTCTTACTTCTGTGTGAGTATGCTCTACGCACCGCTCTCAACAATACCTACTCAGTAGGTACCTGGGTAGACATGTGTAGGCACGTAGGTATGGCTATCTTCACACTAAGGTAGGGACACTTACACTCCTCCTCCGCAGCCCGTACCAGATGCACTCAAGACAGTATTTATACTCCGTACACTGCCATCTATCTCTGCGGAGAGGTCGACGGCAATGCCTATCATCAGACTTACATTCGCGGTCATGTTGTAATTAGCTGAGTCCTCCCTCTTCTGTGAATCCTCTGCGAGTCTACTGCACTACAGTAGTTGGTATGCACATACCTACCTACTTTGCCTACTGTGTTTCATGCCTTGGGATAGGACAGTGCAGGTGCAGCGCACAGGGAAGACCAGGATGCCAACTTCAGAGTCAGAGATAGTTACAGTAGATAGATCCAGATTGCGAAACTGAGCCTCCGTTGCGATTTGGTCGTGGTATCAGTTCGGATCAAGTTTACAGTACTCCGAACAGCTAAAGTCACTTTTGTCCCGTCTGCCCAGACCTGCCATTGAGGGAGTAGGTAGCAGTATTATTGTTAGTATACAGTACAATGTCGAGCCGATGTGGCGATGATACGGGAACGATGTCTCGCTCAGTATGAGGCTCTGCGAAGTGTGATTCAGCCCACCGAGTCAGGGAGATTCATCTTTCTTGACCGGCATCTCCTTCGTGGGACGGTATTGGCGCGTCCAACTGATATTGACCATGACGGTGGATCATGCTCGGCGCCTTCTCTCCCATGCTGAACCTCCGCCTCCACTTACACCTGGGGCTGCATTGCCGCTCTCCTCGCCTTGTTCCACGGCTCTCATACCCCGGCTGTATTCATCGCTCCCACTGTGTTGTCTCTCCCGTTCCAGCATCTCGTCGAATTCTCGTTGCGCCCGTTCGCGATCACGGCCGTCCCGTAACGTTGCTGCTGACCCGAATTTACTTTCGCTGCTGTATGCATCGCGTTCACTGAATTCTGCTTCTTGCTCGGCAAGACGGGTGGATTGGCCTGCGCCGGGTTGGGCGCGAGCACCGTAGGGCGGCGGTCGTGATGGCGAGGAGGCGTTGCCGCCGCGTCGGATACGCTCCCATACACTGCCTCCTGAGGGCTGAGTGTACGCAACAGGTGATGCGTTGTCTCGATCGTTGCCTGTGGTAGGTGATGCGTCGTCGTAGAAGAAAGGGTCAGAGTCTGCGGAGGCGGGTGGGCTGGCGGACTGGCCATGTGGTTGTGGTTGTTGCTGCGATGATGAAGGATATCTCTCATATTGCTGTGTGTTTTCACGAGCTCTCACCGCTGAGTCACTCAATGTACCTGCGCCATCTGCTGTGCCTCGCTCAATACTGTCTCCACTATTGTAGCCGTGCGCCATGCCCTGGTCGACACGACCATTCCGTTCCAGGTCCCTGGAATTCCGCTGGAAGTCAGCCTCGAGATCTTGACCTTGATTTGGCGTCTCGAACCCAGAGGACAGTTGATGTTGTTGTTCGGGCGACATCTGTCTAGCGGAATCACTTTGACCACGATCCTCCCATGCACGCTTGGGGTCCAAGGCGTGAACGAGTTCTTGAGTCCGCGAATCCCTTGACATTGCGTTTGCGATGAAGATTGAAGCGGCGGTTCCAATGGTCGGAGAAGCAACCAGAAACGTGAGCTGTATCCAAATGCCGTACCTCGTAAACTGCCATGCTGACTGTGCAGTTCGCCCCGTCAAAATTGGTACCTGCTTCAAGGGGAAATGGTTGTATTGTTCCAACGGTTTTGCTGGTAGGATGGGGAACTTCATCCGGGCGTGACCTCTGCGAGCGATGAAAGCGCCCAGCACGACGCTAGCTGCCGTGACGTAGGAGCTGTATAACAGCCTCTTCGAGGTCCAGTATGTAAGTGCTTCGGCTTCTTGTTGTGTGACGGGTCTCTTGGCTACATTTTCAGAGCCGCGGATGATGTCAATGGCTAGAATGCCCGCTCGCCGTGCGCGCTGAGGCCCTCCGAACAGCCACCACCTGGAAAAGCCCTGCAAGGGCATGGCGTCGAAGGAGAGTCGGTAGAGGCGAGGCGCATCGTTCAGTTCGTAGCTCAGCGACAGGGTTTCTGGTTCTACCGAGACTTGATACTTGGATCTGGCCTGTATGATCTGCATCAATTTTGTTCTTGTGTCGGGCCCATCGCCAGCTGGGTTCGTTAGTCGAGCACCGGGTCCCATCGAGGGAGGGTAGTTCGAGGGAGGAACGCGCGGGTCACTCGCCATGGTGAGTGCTGCGCGGATGCACGTTGTTTGTGATGGTTTAGCCTATGATGCCATGGTATTAGGACTATCGACCGAGCCACGACTGAATCGCTGGGGCCGATAGAACGGCTAGAGATGATCAAGGACGTAGGAGGACTTTGGACAGAGCTTCTAGCTCATGCGACTTGTGCATGTCGAGCGACTGATGTCAGTGATTTCCCCACAAAACGCAGAGGCGCAGAGACTCACCAAGAAAAGATCCGCAGCCCACTTTGCCCACTGTTCACGCACCACCAACGACTCAACACCAGCTATGGCCTCTTGAAGCCCACTAGATGCACACCTCGAACCAGTCTCCGCCCGTAGCCTCTCCGCCTCCTGTCCTCCGTTGGTAGTTCGACCCAAATCGGACCTCACAGCATCAATTAGTCTTCACCGGATTTGCAAAGCGGACGCCACTTCAGCCTCTCCAGCCCACATAAAGCAGCTCGAGCATCTGTGGGACTTTCACCGCCAACATGGCGCCAAAGGGCAAGCAACAAGAGCCCAAAAAGGCCAAAGCCACGGTCGATGACAAGACCTTTGGCATGAAGAACAAAAAGGGCGGCAGCGCGAAGAAACAGATCGCCCAGCTCCAAGCCCAAGCAAAGTCCAACAAGTCGCCCGAAGAGAAACGAAAAGAGGCCGAGAAGGAGCAACGGCTGAAAGAGAAGGCGGCCGCCGAGAAGGCAAAGGCCGAGGCCGCAGAACTCTTCAAGCCGATTCAGGTGCAGAAGGTGCCGTTCGGAGTCGATCCGAAAACCGTGCTCTGCCAGTTCTTCAAGCAAGGTCACTGCGACAAGGGCAAGAAATGCAAGTTTAGCCATGACCTCGAGGTCGGGAAGAAGGTGGCCAAGAAAGACCTATACCAAGACACGCGGGAACAAGAGAAGGAGGAGAAGGAGAAGGACAATATGGACGACTGGGACGAAGAAAAACTACGAAAAGTCGTTCTGAGCAAACATGGCAATCCGCGGACGACAACCGACAAGGTCTGCAAGTACTTTATTTCAGCCGTCGAGGACGGGAAGTACGGCTGGTTCTGGACATGTCCGAATGGGGGCGACAAGTGCATGTACAGGCACAGCCTGCCGCCTGGGTATGATGCTTTCAATCCATTGCCTTTTTTGAAGGCGTTGCTAACAAGTCTGCCCAGATTCGTACTAAAGACAAAGGAACAGCGGAAAGCCGAAAAGGCTCTGATGGATAAGTCCCCGCTGAACACATTAACACTGGAAGACTTCCTCGAATCCGAACGACACAAATTGACCGGCACTCTAACGCCAGTCAATCCGGAAACATTTGCCAAGTGGAAGAAGGAACGCTTGGACAAGAAGGCCGCCGAAGCGGAAGCATTGAAAGCCAGAGAAGCAACAGGCCGAGCCATGTTCGAGAGTGGCAACTGGAAGGATTCCGAGGACGAGGATAGCGAGGACGATGATGACGACAACGACGATGATGAAGACCAGGGAGCATGGAACCTCGAAGCCATGCGCAAAGAGACTGAGAGGATACGACAGATGAAGGAGGAAGAGCGGTTAGCCAAGGCGAATGGCGAACCGGTATCAGATCGGAACGATGATACCGACAGTAACGACGCCGAGAGTCAAGAAGGCGGAGACGATGCCGACGGCAGCGACGATGACAATGGAGTAGGTTCGAGCGGGACTAACGGAGAGAGTAGTGGAACGAAGGATGGCACCTGAGGGTCTGTGGTCGTTGATTTGGGTTGTTGCGTTTCAGCGAACAGACCGTGACTATGCTGTAGCGCAGTGGTTACGACATGAGCCGAGCCACTTGGTTTGGACAGTTTACGATGAGATGGTATTATTGCAGCCAGTGGGCAACATACATCAGATCGAGAGTCAATCAAGTCCACTGCAACCTCTGGACATCGGCTGTAGACTCGGCGACTGTTCTCGGCCCCCGCAGAACGGCTCAAGGATGTCGAAAAGAGCTTGTCTCGCCTATATCTCGACCTTCCAAACTCTCCGCCGCCCCTCATCGCCAATCAATCTGGCCTATCCTTCGCTTGTGCTCATGGCGATTTGCCCGGCCTCAGTAAAGTTACTCGTACCGAGGCGTTGCTCAAAACGGCACCATCTGCATGACGAGCCATGAGTGATGAGATCGCAAGAAGGAACATACTAGAGTGTAGTCGGTCTATTTCGCGTCTTCCTCTGCAGTGACAGTGACAAACTCTCTGTGAACCGGCACCAGCCAAATTGTTCCGCTTCTGCCCTTGCGGTAAGACTAGCTCATCACTCCGTCATTCATTGCTCCCCCTCCGCAGTACAGAACGGTATATGCGGGAGCTTGGAAGAAGACTGCCTCGCAAGCTTTTTGTCCAGAACGCCACGCCACTTGACCTGATCGACGACCTTCCAAAGCAGTCGAGTGCACCATAACCGAGCAAGACTCGCATTCCTACCTCCTCGTACCCTACGACAGGATCGACACGACACCCTCTCTCCCGATGCCCGACCCACGTCCCAACCCTCACCCTCACCCTCACCCTCAGAGCTCTATCCCGGGCTATCGCCCAGGTCCTTACTTGACGTATGTATAACCAAATGGAGCGCTGAGCGCCGAACGCGGGGCCCTATGCCAGCGGAAGCCCACTCCAAACCCATACAGTGCCGCGCCTTGTCGTCTTCTCCTCTGACTTGATGTGTCGCAGCCGCTCCCGCACCCTCCTCCTCACCGCCATATTCTTCATCCCCTTGACATCGTACCTGTGGCTGCGGCGGCTGGAGTCCAACTCGCGTGAACGGACGAGACTTTTGGAAGAGGAAGGACGTAGGAGTTGGATCCAGGCCGAGAAGGAAAAGCAGCGGTATATTGCGATGAGGAAGGACCGCGATCTCAGCGTCGCTGTGGGACGGAGTGGCGGGGGGGTTTAAGTCCGATCCGCGGCCAGCTATCACGGGCGAGAGGGAGCTGGAAATATCGATACTCAATGTCGATCGGGATGAGGCGTCTACCGGGATTGCACGCATTGAAAGAGAGCATGGGTGAGGCGTTCACTCGAACTGCACGGGTCTAACAAGGGAACGGATGGGGCGTCTGCTGCGAATTTATGCATTGAATACGGGCAACGGACGAGGCATCTACTTCGAAATCATGCATTCGGTACGGGTAACGGATCAGGTGCAACACATGCCAGGCGCGGTGCAGGAGAGTTCAAAATTCGGAGTATGCATTTCCCAGAGAATGAGCGGTACCGGTAGTGGGTACAAGTGCGCTGTGAGTCGAGGACCGAGAGTCGAGAGCTGTAATCACAGACATGAGGTGATTGTCCAGGGAAGCAAGGACCACTAGCTGGCAAGAGCAGGAGAGAGAGAGAGGCAGAGAGCATGGCCTTTCAATGGACGCGACAACATACCACCCGACCCGCATCCACGTCAAAGATCCGATCCGCAAGCGTGTTTATCTAGCAGGGCTGGACTGGGCACGGCGACCCGAACATACGCAGGACATATTACCACAGGACTTGAGAATTCAGGACGTGCTGCGCCTGCGCCAATGCTGCGAGCAGCGACACCACCAAACAGACCAGACCGAAGCAGACCAGATCAGACTAGTCCAGCCCAAATCCGGTGCAACAATGGACCGCAGATGAGCTGCAGCTACCGCTACCGCTACATACTCAACCCAGTACAAAAGTCGACAGCAGATCAACCACAGTCACAGCAACATACTCAACCCAGTGAGCCAACCGACAGCAGATCAGTACCACCTACACCTACATCTACATCTACACCTACACCTACACCTACACCTACACCTACATACCGAGTCCTCAAGCCAATCCTGCCTCGTGCGCATCCAGGGCGACGAAGACATGGCACGTGCCGCCGTGGACTCTGCCCTACCCCTACCCAGGTACCCAGCCAGGTACGTAGTCAGGTGCAAAATACTGCATTGTACTGTACTGTACTGTGTATACCACCTTAGCCATCAGACCATAACAGAGACTACGAGTATCTGAAGACGTCCGCTCAACTCCACTCCGGCAACAAACAGGGAAAGGCAGTTCATGCATATCATGAGGCTATAGACTGGATGTGGATATGGATGTGGAATGGATATAGATATTCAATGCCGTACTATACTGTACAGTACTTGTACCATGGTTCGCTACACCTTATACCCCTCCCATACGGAACACCAACATCTCTCCTCCTCTCCTCTCTTCTGCTCTTCTCTCCTCTCGAGAACTGGTGGGAAGATAGACCCCTTCCCAGCAGTGGTCCCCTGTATTCATGCCTACCAAGGTGAGGCCATTTGAAAATGTTGTACGGAGTACAGTAAATATATACTCATCGCATCACATCCCTCACACCTCACATATCACATCCACCCATCCCATGCCATCCCATCCTATCCATCCGATTAATAACACATGGTGCACGAACTGAGAAAACACGAAAGATTGCAGGAACAGATCGCAAGTGGCAGGACCCTTGGATTGAGCCGTAAAGCTAGGTACAGTACTTTGACTCACTCGTGTGCCTGGCATCCTCCACCGGACGGTATCTCCCCCCATCACTATTATCCAGAGTCCCAAGTCCAACAACAGTCCCCCATCAATTCCCAAAATCGGTGAAACACCGCTCAACCATCGCTCCAAAACGTACACTTTGCTCGTCAGCAAGGATCGTCGAGAATTGAATACATGTCGTTGAGACAGTGCATGCTTGCTTTTGAGCCCTCGCGAGCCAATCCATCAGTCTTTGCTCTTTTCAGTTTTCTCGCGTCAAAACCATCACGTCATTTCACAATGCAGTCAACAGCAGCAGCAGTAACGACAACAACAACTATAACAACATTAATCACCACTTCTCCACACTCACGCATTCCCCATCATAGCGCTCGGGATGCTCTCATATGGCGCGGGCTGCACGTTCTCCCCAATCCCTCCCATTCGCGGGCTCATTGCCTGATTATCATCCCCACCTCTCCTTCCTCGAGAAGGGCTTCTATTGCGTCCCGTGAAGTTTCTCAATTTGCTGAACAACTGCCCGCCTGAGCTCGCTCCACCGCTTTGATTGTCATTCCCGCTTCGGCCGCGCCGGTGGCCCATTGCAGACAGCGAGCTAGCGGAAAGTGGGATGCTGTTGGCGGTGTTTGGACCGTCATCTCTTGCGAAGGTGGTTTTCGTGACGACGGCAGACATAGGTAGGGCGACGTTGGCCGCCTCAGCTTGATCGAAGTTGCGAACGTTGGACATGTTGGGACTTGCCATGAACACGGGCATCTTTGCTGTAGGTGCAGCTGGAGGCGGCGGAGGTGGTGGTGGTGGAGGCGGAGGAAGTGGTTCGGCGAGGTGCTGCAATTCAGGCAGGATAGGTGGATTGGGTCGCTGCGTCGGCGCCGGACTGGCATAGACCACTGCCTCATTCTCGCTGATGGGCGGAGACGCCTGGGGGATCTCTCGTGGAGAGACCCGAGCGGTACGATCTCGGGAGGTGGCTCTACTACGTGAACTGGCGCGAGCTTCAGCTCCCTTGCTACTCGACCTGCTGCCTGCGATGCGACGATCATAGGCCGGGTGCTTGGGGATTTGGGTCAGGAATTCGAGGGATGCTGGGGGCCGTGTGGAGCCTGGTCGACTTACGTCTTCTCCTCGTGTAGGTGGACGGTACACATCACTTGTGAGCAGTTGTGCCGCGTTTGACCCATCTCCAGATCCAGTTTTGTCTTCCGGTATGGCGGATTCGACCTGCATTGCTCGGGGTGTCGTGGGTCTCCCAGTGGCAACTCCTAGGCCAGTCACGATTTCTGATGCCGGAGGGTTTTCATTCGCCGGCGAGGTAGGCATCGGTCCATCATCTGCGTACGACGTTGTGGAATGTGGCGCTGCATTGCCTGTCGAAGCAGACTTACCGTGTGCCGTCGTCTGGACAGGTAGCGGCACATTAGGGACAGAGGGACGGCGGGTCAGCGACAGCCGGCGGGCTTCAAGCTGTTCTGCAGGCGTCTGAGCTCTGCTCCGCTCAAAAGCGACATGAGGTTGACTGGCAGACCTAGAAATCATGTCGAAAGCCGGGAGGACATCGCTGGGCATGCTGTCTTCAGGGTCGTCCGGATGGGCACTTCGATCATACGTTGCATCGCTAGGTCGCCGATTGCGACGATGACGTTCACTTCGGCTTGGCTTGCGACTCAAAGTGGTTGCCGCTTCTTCTGTTTGACGACTGCGAGATCGAGCACGCACCCTCCGTCGATCGGGTGAGCGGTCCCGTCGTGCACTTGTACTGCGTGCAGGTTGGCGACTAGTGCTCCGGTGCAGCCGGTGGCGGTCCCGAGAAACAAGCCTCAACGCCGAATCTTGATCGAATCGGCTCTGCCGGTCTTCTTCAGACGGTACCATTGGTCTGGGGGATGAGGGAGACCGATGTCCTAGGTTCTCCTTGCGGGAAGCGCTGCGGCCTCTGGGAGAGAACAATGCGGCATCAGGACTGTGTTGCCTGCTGGCTGTCTTGCTTCGTGCGCCAGCTTGTCTGGATTGTGATCTTTTGCGAGTCTTTGCGCCTTTCGCCGTCGACTGAGAGCCGCGGCGGCTCAGCTTGGATAAGCTCGCAGGTGTGCCTGATCTGTCGATGCCAGAGTAGTTGGAGCTGTACAATGTGTCGAAACTCTCGACGCTGGTGCTGTACATGCGAAGGTCCTCGGGGGACATGGGGACGGGCGAAGAGGGCGATCGTTTGGCAGCTGGAATCGCTCGTCGAGTGTCTCTCTCCTCCTCTCTGCCTTTCTTCCGCTCAGACACGTCATCTCTAGATTGCTTGCTTGTACTGCTGTACCCACGGGCTCGAGCATGTTTGGAATAGTACTGAGCCTGCTCTAGGCTGCTGATATATTGGTCAATACTGCGACCCGTTACCATGGGACTTTTTGCACTTCGATAACTTTGGCCGGTCGTTGGGGGGCTGGTCAAGTCACCGGTGGTGTCAAGTTGGGTATTTGAGTATGACCCGGTGGTTGCAGGTCGGCTTATCGATTCACCGTAGCTTTCAGCTGGTAAGAACTCCTGAGTAGAGACGTGGCTTGTCTGAATGGAAAGTCCATCAGGCTTGCGACTTCGGGAGCCGATCTTGGAACGCGGCACGTCGGTGTGAGGCTCGTCGTGGCCCAGCACGTTGTAAGTCGAGGATGGGAACTTGATGGCCGTCTGAGGGCCAACAGCGGTCTGTGGGGTTTGTCTGACAGGCGTTGTCATGGATGGCTCATAACGCGCAGAGGTAAGAAGAGTCAAGGAAGGCTGTTTGGCACGCTGTGACTCGTTGGCGGCAGCTGCGTCGCTGGCCTCGCCCAGCTTGGGAGATGCTAATTCGGCAGGCACAGAGATCGATCTCTGAGGGATCGAAGTAGGGAACTGCGGTGCCTCGACATCGACTGGAGTTTCCCCAATTGCCGCCAATCTGCTGGGCTGGAAACCACCTGGAGTAGCGGTTTTGGCGGAAAGAGCACTGTTGATACTGCGTATGTTATTCAACCGGTACGAGCCCAGACCTCCCGGCGACAAAGCAGACCTGTCGATGGCGGATTCCGCAATAGGAGTGACGGCAGCAGCAACTGTGGGGGTGCGGTCCTCTGGCTTCAGGCCGGGGAATTTGTAGTTATTGTTGGGTGTCGCGCCGAACGAGGTGACAAGTTTGAGGGCTGACGTCTGAGGAGTGATTCTTGTTCCGAGCGCCGCGGCGGTGCGGAAGGGTGTAGGGGGTTGCATAGTCTGCATTATGTGAGGTGGAGGCATCGCCACAGGAGTTGGGGCGTCAAGAGTTCGTCGTCGCTCGAGTGTTTTCTGGAAAATGGCTGGGTATTCCATTGGTTCCAAAGTCTGCACCTGGGGCGCGCTTCGAGGGCTAGAGACCGTATCCACAAA